ATACAACGACAGCAGCTGATATTTTTACCGCACTCGTCGGCGCGCTGGACAGGGTCGGAGTGGACTGGTCCCGCGCAGTCAGCCTGGCTACAGATGGTGCGCCCTCAATGATCGGGAAAAAAGCAGGCGTTGTGACAAAGTTCAGAGAGAAAGTGCAATCTGCAAATGGAGGACGTGATTTTTTGACTTTTCACTGTATTTTGCACCAGGAGGCTTTGTGTTGCAAGTCATTAAAGATGGATAACGTCATGAAGGTGGTCATCCAAACTGTTAATTTCATCCGATCCAGAAGCCTGAATCACCGTCAGTTTGACAGCCTTCTCAGAGAGAAAGACCTCATCTATGGCCTGCCATACCACACTGAGGTAAGATGGTTAAGCCGAGGTGCTGTGCTGAGGCGTTTCTTTGATTTACGAGAAGAAATTGAACAGTTCATGGAAGAAAAGGGCAAACCAGTGTTAGAATTTCATTCCGCAGAATGGATGCAGGACCTTGCATTTATGGTGGATGTTACAGAGCACCTGAATAACTTGAACAAACAGCTGCAAGGGCGCAACAAAGTTGTCACGCAGTATTATGACAGCATACGTTCTTTCAAGTTGAAGCTGTCATTGTGGGAGACGCAACTTGCCGGTGGTGATGCAGCTCACTTCCCCTGTCTGAAAAATGTGTGCGCGACCCAACATGTGGCAGACATGAAGCGGTTCAAAGATCAAATAACGGGACTGTTACGGGAGTTTGAGCAACGCTTTCAGATTTATGTTTATATGTTTTTATGTTGATGTGCTATTGTTTTTAATTGATTTTATTTTATTTGTATATTTAACCTATTCTTGACTCTGTGGTTCTTGCACTTGTTTGGGGAACAGGATTTCATTATTTTTATCTACATTTCTGCCTGAGAAATGACACCCTGATATAGTTCTGTGATCTGTGATATACTTCTGTGAATCACTGAGGCATTGTGTGTTTGTGTGTTCTTTGTCCTCAGAACTTTCAAATAACTTGAGGTGTTTTATGATTAATAGTGATGTTGTGCTTTTGGACACTGTCCTCAGGCTCCAGCTTTATGTTTATATGTTTTTATGTTGATGTGCTATTGTTTTTAATTGATTTTATTTTATTTGTATATTTAACCTATTCTTGACTCTGTGGTTCTTGCACTTGTTTGGGGAACAGGATTTCATTATTTTTATCTACATTTCTGCCTGAGAAATGACACCCTGATATAGTTCTGTGATCTGTGAAACAGTTCTGTTAATCACTGAGGCATTGTGTGTTTGTGTGTTCTTTTTCTTTAGAATTTTCAAATAAACTTGACGTGTTTTATGATTAATAGTGATGTTGTGCTTGTACTATTTTGGACACACTGTCCTCAGGCTCCAGCTTTATGTTGTATGTTGTATGTTGATCGTATTAAAACAAAGAAAACAATCTGAAGTTGTTGTTTTTAAGTTATATATACCATGATTTTTCCGGTCCGGCCCACTTGGGAATAGATTTTCCTCCATGTGGCCCCTGAGCTAAAATGAGTTTGACACACCTGCTCTATAGCTTTAGGATTCCACAGGGATGGACTTAAACACATGTGTGTGTATGTGTGTGTGTGTGTGTGTGTGTGTGTGTGTGTGTGTGTGTGTGTGTGTGTGTGTGTGTCTGTGTGTGTGTGTGTGTGTGTGTGTGTCTGTGTGTGTGTGTGTGTGTGTGTGTGTGTGTGTGTCTGTATGTGTGTGTGTGTGTGTGTGTGTGTGTGTGTGTGTGTGTGTGTGTGTGTGTGTGTGTGTGTGTGTGTCTCTGTGTGTGTGTGTGTGTGTGTGTGTGTGTGTGTGTGTCTCTGTGTGTGTGTGTGTGTGTGTCTCTGTGTGTGTGTGTGTGTGTGTGTGTGTGTGTGTGTGTGTGTGTGTGTGTTGTGTGTGTGTGTGTGTGGTGTGTAGGTGGGGACTAAGTCAGTGTCTCAGTGTGTGGAATATTACTACACCTGGAAGAAGAGGCTTCGTCTGAATGTAAGGACCCCAGTCGGGCTGGCCAGACCACAGCCTGAGGGAAATGGAAGGACAACCCGTCTCTCTCTTACATTTAACATAACGCTTACGTTAATATGTTAGCAAATGTAAAGTAACTTTCACAAACAGTCAGCCGTCATACAGTTGTTAGTCTATCCAGGGCTTTCATATAGCTGTAGTCATACAGTTGTTAGTCTATCCAGGGCTTTCATATAGCTGTAGTCATACAGCTGTTAGTCAGCGGTGGCTACAATGACGGACAGGCGAGTGTCTGTGGAGAGAGAGAGAGAGAGTCTATCTATCTATCTATCATCATCATCTATCTACATCACTATCTATCTATCTATCTATCTATCTATCTATCATCTATCTACTCTATCTACTATCTATCTATCACTATCTATCTATCGAATCTATCTATCTATCTCTCTATCTATCTATCTTCTATCTATCTATCTAGTCTATCTATCTATCATCTATCTATCTATCTAGCAATCGATCTATCTATCTATATCATCTATTACGCTCTAGCTATCTATCTACTAGCGATCTAAAAATCTATCTATCTATCTCTATCTATCTATCTATCTATTCTTCTATCTATCTTCTATCTAGCTATCATTATCTATCTATCTATCTATCTATCTATCTATCTATTATCTATCAGGCTAATCTATCTATCTATCTATCATCTATCTATCTATCTGCTATACTGTATAGTCTGACTGTCTGTACTATGTTCAGGGTTCTCATCTCTTCTCCTCTCTTCCAGGGGGTTCTCTAAAGTGTCGTAACACCCACATGAAGACCACCGCCAGCAGGTGGCACTGCACTGCCCTAAACCCTGAACCAGGACTGACCCTAAGCCCTACACCAGGACTGACCCTAAGCCCTACACCAGGACAGACCCTAAACCCTGAACCAGGACTGACCCTAAACCCTGAACCAGGACTGACCCTAAGCCCTACACCAGGACTGACCCTAAGCCCTATACCAGGACAGACCCTAAACCCTGAACCAGGACTGACCCTACACCAGGACAGACCCTAAACCCTGAACCAGGACAGACCCTAAACCCTACACCAGGACAGACCCTAAACCCTACACCAGGACTGTCCCTAAACCCTACCAGGACTGACCCTATAGAGTATAACCAGAACTGACCCTATAGAGTATAACCAGAACTGCAATTTGTAAGTCGCTCTGGATAAGAGCGTCTGCTAAATGATGTAAATGTGAATGTAAATGTAACTGACCCTAGATAGTATAACCAGCAGGACTAGCCCTCTACTGCCCTCTACAGTCTAACTTATCACCCAGAGGAGCTGCACGTCACAATGAGTTTATATCAGTTTATATCCGTTTACATCAATTTACATCAGTTTATATCAGTTTATATATGAGTTATATGAGTCACTGAGTTGGAGGATTCCATGTCTGACCACAGGCAGCCCAATTCTGATATGTTGCCCAGTTATTAAGAGCTGATCAGCCTGTGTAGTTTCATTAACGTTCCATATAGTATTTCACATCATCACTGAGCCCATGATACAGTAGGTTACTGGTTATCTGACTGTTAGTACCAACGGTACCCATTTTTCCTGAAGTACCCCATTACACCTGGTTGTGTTTATTAGTGCCTCAGTATAATGTTTGTATTTCATTGCTGTCTACAGTTGTTAATAATGTAATTAACTTAAGCATATCTGTATGTCTGTGACTCTGGTAGCCTGAGACTTGTGGTCTCCTGAGTGGCGCAGTGGTCTAAGGCACTGCATCGCAGTGCTAACTGTGCCACTAGAGATCCTGGTTCGAATCCAGGCTCTGTCGCAGCCGGCCGCGACCGGGAGACTCATGGGCGGCGCACAATTGGCCCAGCGTCGTCCAGGGTAGGGGAGGGAATGGCCGGCAGGGATGTAGCTCAGTTGATAGAGCATGGCGTTTGCAACGCCAGGGTTGTGGGTTCGATTCCCACGGGGGGCCAGTATAAAAAAATATATATATGTATTCATTAACTGTAAGTCGCTCTGGATAAGAGCGTCTGCTAAATGACGTAAATGTAAAATGTAGCCTGGCTTGGTTAGCTGACTCCTTCTCTTATTAAAGCAAAGGTTTCTATGGTTATTTGTAAAGTGCTCCACATACAGGTTACTGCCTAAATAAAAGAAACACTTGAGGAAATGAGGGATATAAAGTGTATTGAAATCAGTTCCTGGGTTAATTAAGCAATTAACATCCCATCATGCTTAGGGTCATGTATATAAATGCCCAGTTGCCCATTATTTTGGGTACCATGGCTAAAAGAAGAGCTCTCAGTGACTTTGAAAGAGGGGTCTCAAATGAGCATAGGGGGTTTAAAGGGTGTGTGTGTGTGTGTGTGTGTGTGTGTGTCTCAGTCACCAGATCTCAACCCAATTGAACACTTATGGGAAAAATCTGGAGAGGCGCCTGTAGACAGCGTTTTCCACCACCATCAACAAAACACCAAATGATGGAATTTCTTATGGAAGAATGGTGTCACATCCCTCCAATAGAGTTCCAGACACTTGTAGAATCTATGACAAGGCGCATTGAAGCTGTTCTGGCTCGTAGTGGTGGTCCAACGCCCTATTAAAGACACTATGTTGGTGTCTCCATTATTTTGGCATTTACCTGCAGGCTATATTTACTGTAGATTCAGAGACAGACAGACAGACAGACAGTGAAGTTCTTACAACTTTTTCCCCAACCTGTAGTTAAACATGTTGTTGTTAGGCTACTGCCATAACTACCTTACTTATAACCCAATATGAAAGTTTAAAAAAAATAATAATAAATTAAGCTGATATAGACAGCCAAGAGCTGGCTACAGGCAGTCCTATCTTTATCAGTTAGCTGGCCCGAGTAGTGGGTCGCTATGCGCTACGGTTCCAAAGGTTCCGCTTACAACATTCCACCTGCTGCATCCGCAGCCAATAGACCAGAACGCGTCCTGGTGAGTTGGACTGCAGGAAGAACATGTCGCTACGGAAACGTAAAAACAAAAGGCCGTCGTCTAAGTCTGCATCAGAAGACCTGACAAGAATAATCGAACATGTAGAGTTTCAGTCGGATAATGAGGAGTGGGGGAGAGAGAGGGGGAGGGGGAAAAAAGAGGGGAGGCCGCGGGAGACAGATCCCGGGACAAGAGGCACTCCGGTGAGTGAGGGTGAGCGCGAAAGCCCGGTAAAACAGAACGGTCCTACTCAGAAGACATCCAAAGAAGTTCACATCGTCTTCCTCCCCGAAAGATACCAAACTCTCATAGAGGAGGTGGAGGACAGCGAGGGAAGAGAGGAGGAGGAGAGGAAGAAGGAGGAGGAGGAGAAGAGGAAGAAGGAGAAACACAAGAAATACAGAAAGGTAGACTATAATGTTAGGCGAACTAAAAACTATTTCAAGTCTCCTCTGTAAAATAGTGTAATATTCTAACATTTTGCTTTGGATAGTTGTTCCTAGTTATGTAACCCTAGAGATACCTTATTCGCTTTATTCTTGAACTCTATGTTGCTTTGCTGTGTCACTCTGAACAAGTTAACCATTCACAAACGGACTGAGTACGGTGAACTTTGGGTTAGTTCAACTCTGTCAGCACTATTTACAGGATCAGATGGGTTAGTCAGGGGCGGACTTTGTGATTTGGAGGCCCCAGGCAGAGGCCAGTCAGAGGATGGGATTTATAGTAAAGACTTAATTAAACTGTAAAAAATATATTCAATTTTAATGTGCCATGAACACATCCAGTCATGATGTTTTCATCTGATTGTCAAACAAATCACTTCAAAAAGGAGGTTACCTTCGCATGTTCATCCAAAAATAATTCCAGCATCCGAACAGTGCACTGAGCACCTGCCAACTTTCCTTTCGCAAGTGGCTGAAACTGTTTCACCGGAGAAAGCATCCTAGCGAGCGAAACTGCGCTCCTCTGTCTTACTATATGTAGCCCTCGTATCTGATGCTGTCTGGCCAGATCAGATGGGTTAGTTCAACTCTGTCAGCTAGCTCTATTTACAGGATCAGATGGGTTAGTTCAACTCCGTCAGCTCTATTTACAGGATCAGATGGGTTAGTTCAACTCTGTCAGCTAGCTCTATTTACAGGATCAGATGGGTTAGTTCAACTCTGTCAGCTAGCTCTATTTACAGGATCAGATGGGTTAGTTCAACCTTGTCAACTAGCTCTATTTACAGGATCAGGTGAGTTAGTTCAACTCTGTCAGCTAGCTCTATTTACAGGATCAGATGGGTTAGTTCAACTCTGTCAGCTCTATTTACAGGATCAGATGGGTTAGTTCAACTCTGTCAGCTCTATTTACAGGATCAGATGGGTTAGTTCAACTCTGTCAGCTAGCTCTATTTACAGGATCAGATGGGTTAGTTCAACCTTGTCAACTAGCTCTATTTACAGGATCAGGTGAGTTAGTTCAACTCTGTCAGCTAGCTCTATTTACAGATCAGATGGGTTAGTTCAACTCTGTCAGCTCTATTTACAGGATCAGATGGGTTAGTTCAACTCTGTCAGCTAGCTCTATTTACAGGATCAGATGGGTTAGTTCAACTCTGTCAGCTAGCTCTATTTACAGGATCAGATGGGTTAGTTCAACCTTGTCAACTAGCTCTATTTACAGGATCAGGTGAGTTAGTTCAACTCTGTCAGCTAGCTCTATTTACGGATCAGATGGGTTAGTTCACTCTGTCAGCTCTATTTACAGGATCAATGGGTTTTAGTTTCAACTCTGTCAGCTCTATTTACAGGATCAGATGGGTTAGTTCAACTCTGTCAGCTAGCTCTATTTACAGGATCAGATGGGTTAGTTCAACCTTGTCAACTAGCTCTATTTACAGGATCAGGTGAGTTAGTTCAACTCTGTCAGCTAGCTCTATTTACAGGATCAGATGGGTTAGTTCAACTCTGTCAGCTCTATTTACAGGATCAGATGGGTTAGTTCAACTCTGTCAGCTAGCTCTATTTACAGGATCAGATGGGTTAGTTCAACTCTGTCAGCTAGCTCTATTTACAGGATCAGATCAACAACACTGTAGCCTATAGGCCAATTGTTTGTGTGATGAGCTGTTTTGTAAATTAATTAATTGAGCTGTATTAACTTTTAAGCTTAATTATTAATTATATACAGGATAACAACAATGTAGCCTATGTTTGATTGTTATTGCTTGTTGTTAATACAGTAAATTGACAACAATGTGTTAGATATGTGTTAAGGGTGGGTGGGTAGGTAGGGGTTAAGGGGAGGTGCATAGGAGTTAAGGAGGGGTAGTTAGTGGTTAAGGAGGGGGTTTAGGGGTTAAGGAGGGATGGTTAGGGGTTGGGGGAGTAGGGGTTAATGGGGGTGGTTAGGGTTTAAGGGGGTGGTTGTTAGGGTTTAAGGGGGTTGTTGTTAGGGTTTAAGGGGGTGGTTGTTAGGGTTTAAGGGGGTGGTTTTGTTTAGGTTTAAGGGGTGGTTGTTCGGGTTTCGGGGGTGGTTGTTGGGTTTAGGGGTGGTTGTTAGGGTTTAAGGGGTGGTTGTTGGGTTTCAGGGGTGGTTGTTCGGTTTCAGGGTGGTTGTTCGGGTTTCGGGTGGTTGTTAGGTTTCCGGGGTGGTTGTTCGGGTTTCGGGGGTGGTTGTTCAGGTTTCCGGGGGTGGTTGTTTCGGGTTTCCGGGTGGTTGTTCTGGTTTCCGGGGTGGTTGTTCGGGTTTCCGGGTGGTTGTTCGGGTTTCCGGGGTGGTTGTTCGGGTTTCCGGGGTGTTGTTCGGGTTTCCGGGGTGGTTTCGGGTTTTCCGGGGTGGTTGTTGGGTTTCCGGGGTGGTTGTTCGGTTTAGGGGGTGGTTGTTAGGGTTTAATGGGTGGTTGTTAGGGTTTAAGGGGGTGGTTGTTAGGGTTTAAGGGGTGGTTGTTAGGGTTTAAGGAGTGGTTGTTAGGGGTGCTGAGAGCAGAGCAGTAAATCTCTCACAGCCCTAAGCTCTTACATATGACACAAATTAACTGCTGCAACACACACACTCACGTACACATTTTGTACATTTTACATTTTAGTAATTTTAGCAGACACTCTTATCCAGAGCGACTTACAGTCAGTGTCATATGTACACCACACCACACCACACACACCACACACACTGCGTGTTTTTGTGTGTGTGTGACCCGTGCGATTGCTTGTGCCTGACCCTGTGTCTGTGTCCCATTGGTCCTGTCTGGTAGAACGTGAGGAAGGCTCTGCGGTTCGGCTGGCGATGTCTGGTTGCCGGGTTACAGAGTTTAGCGAGCGGCTATGCTACGCCCCTTTCGGCTGCAGCCACGTTGGTGATCGACGTCCACAGAACTAACCGCCAGGCATAATGAGAAGGAGGAGGACTAATATCTGGGACTACAGAACACACACAGTCTCAACTGCATTTTATGTAATTATTTCAGACTCCTTAACCGTTACCTAATACAGTATGTGATTCTAGTGGTTAAACCAGGTTGTTAGTTACACTACCGGTCAAAAGTTTTAGAACACCTACTCATTCAAGTTTTATTTTTATTTTTACTATTTACTACATTGTAGAATAATTGTGAAGACATCAAAACTATGAAATAACACATGTGGAACCATGTAGTAACCAAAAAGGTGTTAAACAAATCAAAATATATTTTATATTTGAGATTCTTCAAATAGCCCTCCTTTGCCTTGATGACAGCTTTGCACACTCTTGGCATTCTGTCAACCAGCTTCACCTGGAATGCTTTTCCAACAGTCTTGAAGGAGTTCCCACATATGCTGAACACTTGTTGGCTGCTTTTCCTTCACTCTGCGGTACGACTCATCCCAAACCCTCTCAATTTAGTTGTGGTTGGGGGATTGTGAAAGCCAGGTCATCTGATGCAGCACTCCATCACTCTCCTTCTTGGTAAAATAGCCCTTACACAGCCTGGAGGTGTGTTGGGTCATTGTCCTGTTGAAAAACAAATGATAGTCCCACTAAGCCCAAACCAGATGGGATGGCGTATCGCTGCAGAATGCTGTGGGAGCAATGTTAGTTAAGTGTGCCTACAATTCTAAATACATTTCAGTCAGTGTCACCAGCAAAGCAACTCCACACCATAAGATTTTAAATTTAGATTTTAGTTATTTAGCAGACACTCTTATCCAGAGCGACTTACAGGAGCAATTTAGGGTTAAGTGCCTTGCTCAAGGGCACATCGACAGATTTTTCACCTAGTCAGCTTGGGGATTAGAACCAGCGACCTTTCGGTTACTGGTACAATGCTCTTAACCACTAAGCTACCTGCCGCCCATAACACCTCCTCCTCCATGCTTTACGGTGGGAAATACACATGCAGAGATCATCCGTTCACCCACACCGCGTCTCACAAAGACACGGCGGTTGGAACCAAAAATCTCCAATTTAGACTCATCAGACCAAAGGACAAATTTCCACCGGTCTAATGTCCATTGCACGTGTTTCTTGACCCAAGCTAGTCTCTTCTTTTTATTGGTGTCCTTTAGTAGTGGTCTTTTACCAAATAGGGCTATCTTCTGTAGACCCCCCCCCCCCCCCCCCCCCCACCTTGTTACAACACAACTGATTGGCTCAAACGCATTAAGAAGGAAAGAAATTCCACAAATTAACTTTTAACAAGGCACACCTGTTAATTGAAATGTATTCCAGGTGACTACCTCATTAAGCTGGTTGAGAGAATGCCAAGAGTATGCAAAGCTGTCATCAAGGCAAAGGGTGGCTATTTGAAGAATCTCAAATATAATACATATTTTGATTTGTTGAACACTTTTTTGGTTACTACGTGATTCCATATGTGTTATTTCATAATTTTGATGTCTTCACTATTATCCCTACAATGTAGAAAATAGTAAAAATAAAGAAAAACCCTTGAATGAGTAGGTGTTCTGAAACTTTTGACCGGTAGTGTATATGTTCCCTTCTCCTGTTTAGTTTTACTCTGATAACATTATCCTGTTAAGTTTCTCTGCTAACATTGTCATATTTTAATATGATTTTGAAATGGTCATGTTGAATGTTTTGTTTTGATGTTTACTGGTCTGAAAAGTTAATAAAGAGAGTGATGAGGAAGAGAAAAAGTACAGTAAAATATAAAGAGCGCAAGAGGGATAGAAATGGATATAGAATTCGAAAGAGGAAAAAGTCAGACGGGTGAAGATTTGAGAGAGGGTGGAGAGAGAGTTGATAGGCACTTTATGAAGGCCTTTCTCCAAAGCAAAGTAAGCTATTCTACAGTATGCACCATACAATACTATGCACTTAACTGGTTTACCTGCTAGATTGAGAAAGGATTGTGACCAGGGAAATGAACAAAAATCCCTGTCCAGGTTCTACCATTCCCACTGTCGTACTCACCAGGGGTGTATTCAGCAGGACAGGTTCTACCATTCCCACTGTCGTACTCACCAGGGGTGTATTCAGCAGGACAGGTTCTACCATTCCCACTGTCGTACTCACCAGGGGTGTATTCAGCAGGACAGGTTCTACCATTCCCACTGTCGTACTCACCAGGGGTGTATTCAGCAGGACAGGTTCTACCATTCCCACTGTCGTACTCACCAGGGGTGTATTCAGCAGGACAGGTTCTACCATTCCCACTGCCGATTTTGCAGGTTTTCCTACTTACAAAGCATGTAGAGGTCTGTAATTTTTATCATAGGTACACTTCAACTGTGAGAGACGGAATCTAAAACAAAAATCCAGAAAATCACATTGTATGATTTTTAAGTAATTAATTTGCATTTTATTGCATGACAAAAGTATTTGATACATCAGAAAAGCAGAACTTAATATTTGGTACAGAAACCCCCTTTAAATAAAGGTTAAACTCCAGGCCTGTCACATTATGGTGTAAAACACAGGGCTTAAGAATAAGGAATCACGTCAGCTTCTATTCATGGCATTTCTATCCACAACGTTTTACAACTTTTGGCTACTGAACATGACTCAGGCCTGTATTCAGAGAGATTCTCAACATTAAAGGTGCACTATGCATAAATCGCTCCCCCATTTCCTTGTTGCTAAACTTTAAATAGTTAGCCTAATTTCAGTTTGTGACAAAACAAGCAAGTATAGTGTAGATAATCATTGTACCGTCTAAACCGCAGTGAAATATATTTTCCATAACCGAAAATATTGTATTCAGTTTTTTGAAGCTGGTGTACAAAACCGATAGTGAAAGACACAAAAATGAAACGTAAGAACGTGAAGCGTCAAGCATAGAAATAGCGCACATAGAACAGATCTACCGCTTCTTAGACTTGCTTTCAATGAGAATGACAGATCTATAACTCCCATTTCAATGTGAATTTGGTCGGGTCGCCCATACAGTTACATATTGCAACTTTAAAGATTGAAATGCAATAAATAAAGCTGAGACGACACCCTATTCTACCTAACAGACAAGGATATCTGTTCTAAACAGGAACTTCTATGATATCATGTGCGGTCCTATAGTGAATCAACTACCGTAGGGTAATAGTGTCGTAAACTAGGCGTTTGAAAATTGTGAGAGGCAACCTGGATGTCTAGAGAGACTAGTAAGGTACAACAGTCTGCCACAGGAGGGGGCTAGAGATCTATAAGGTGCATGTGAAATCTCGTCTTGGGGTCCTGCAGTGTGTCGACAGTAGCGTGGAATGAAGAAGGCACATGTGCAGCTGTAACTCTGAAACATGTACACTGTTGCTGTATCAGTGTGGAAAATACATATCAACGTCATTTCAAACCATGTTGAAGGCCTTCTTGGCATTTTCAACCTATTCCATCACTGTGTGTGTGTGTGTGTGTGTGTGTGTGTGTGTGTGTGTGTGTGTGTGTGTGTGTGTGTGTGTGTGTGTGTGTGTGTGTGTGTGTGTGTGTGTGTGTGTGTGTGTGGATGTGTTTAACTATACTTGTGGAGAATAGAATAGTGAACGAACAAACATTTGACCAACTGGGGACATTTTGTTAGTCCCCACAAGATCAAATGCTATTTCTAGGGGGTTTAGGGTTAAGGTAGAATTAGTGTTAGGGTTCGGGGTTAGGGAAAATACGATTTTGGTTATAAATTGTGGGTCCCCACAAGGTTAGTTAAACAATACTGTGTGTGTGTGTGTGTGTGTGTATGTGAATGAATTAACTTTGTTTTGTACAGGCATAAGAACAAACATACAGATAATAAATCATCAGTGAATACTGTAAATGGTGTATTGTGTTTTATAGTCCCTCCTTATTTAGGAAACTGATGCTGCTAATTGGTATTCATGTATTGCATGCCCCATTACTCTCTCACAGAGGGGTTCTGAGCCTTTGACCTGACAGCAGTAGTTTGTGTGTGTGTGTGTGTGTGTGTGTGTGTATGAGAGAGAGAAAGAGTGCGAGAGAGAGAATAGGAAGGAGAGAAAAGAGAGTGGGGGGGGGGGGGGGGGGGGGGGTCTAATGCAGTATTCACCCCTGACCACTTTGTCACGACGTATAATGATTAGACTTTGCTGTTACATTACTTCTTCCGCTGAGAAGACTCTTGACGGGAGTTCCACAAGTTTTCGGATGTAGCTATCCCTTCTGGTGAGAGAGAGAGGCGGTAAGCAGAGAGAGAGAGAGAGAGAGAGAGAGAGAGACAGAGAGAGAGAGAGAAAGTGAAAGAGAAGAGTCCCATGGCTCCATTGCAGCTCGCTGTGTACTTGCGGCTCGCTCTCATATTCTTCTTCACGGCGTTTCTCTTCTTCCTCGATGTCTTCACTGCCAGCAGAGCAGCCTCCTCGTGCACTAACGTCCCCAGTCAGTTACCGACCAGGAGTCGAACCGGAGGAGATGAAGTCTCTTCTAGTGCGCGCAAACAGGACCACACTACGTGGGAGGTGCGCGAGATGAACCGGTCACTTATATCGGTATTGTTACCGACACAGGATGAGATCACGTGGGGGAACGACATGGAGAGAGAGAATGTGAGTAAACATGGAATGAAATACAGTAATTACAGTTTCAACCTAATTGGCAGTTATTGTAATTGTCTAAATCAGTGTAAACAGCAACAAGCTGCATGAACAGATTCCCTTTTATGTAGAAATGTAGCCTACAAACCGGTTTGAACAGATTCCTTTTTATGTTCCTACAAACCGGTTTCACTGACCAAGATGAACCCAGCTTTAGTTTATTACACTTCAGTAGGCTAAATCAGGGTCACACAGAGTGTGTGTGACCCTGAGTGTGTGTGTGTGTGTGTGTGTGGGGGGGGGGGGGGGGTAAATATTACATTAAAAGTTTATTACAAATTAAATGAACACCCCCACCTCTGTGTCATGGTTTATTGTTTCCCCCCCAGGTGGCTGTACTGGTGGATACAATTTGTATTTGTATTTATTAAGGATCCAGCAACATTAAGGCAGTTATATACAATTTAAAATATTACATGACATTACATTTCATAACACTTTACACAATACATTTAGTGTGTTCCCTCAGGCCACTACTCCACTATCACATTTTAGAAAAAATACAACATCCACGTGTGTGTAGAGTGCGTATCTTATCAAGTGTATGTGTGTCTGTGCCTGTGTGTGTGTCTCTTCACAGTCACCGCTGTTCCATAAGGTGTATTTTTATCTGTCCACTACCACATATCTACAACACAAAATCCATGTGTACGTGTGTGCATAGTGCGTATGTTATCGTGTGTGTGTGTATGCATGTGTCTGTGCCTATTTGTTGCTTCACAGTCCCCGCTGTTCCATAAGATGTATCTTTATCTGTTTTTAAATCTAATTTTACTGCTTGCATCAGTTACCTGATGTGGAATAGAGTTCCATGTATCTATGGCTCTATGTAGTACTGTGCGCCACCCATAGTCTGTTCTGGACTTGGGGACTGTGAAGAGACCTCTGGTGGCCTGTCTTGTGGGGAATGCATGGGTGTCCGAGCTGTGTGCTAGTAGTTTAAACAGACACCTCGGTGCATTCAGCATGTCAACAGTTCTTACAAAAACAAGTAGTGATGAAGTCAATCTCTCCTCCACTTTGAGCCATGAGAGATTTACTTGCATATTATTCATGTTAGCTCTCCGTGTACATTTAAGGGTCAGCCGTGCTGCCCTGTTCTGAGTCAATTGTAATTTTCAGAGGGCCCTCTTTGTGGCACCTGACAACACGACTGAACAGTAGTCCAGATGCGACAAAACTAGAGCCTGTATGACCTGCCTTGTCGATATTGTTGTTAAAAAGGCAGAGCAACGCTTTATTATGAACAGATTTCTCCCATTCTTAGCTACTGTCGTATCAAAATGTTTTGACCATGACAGTTTACAATCCAGGGTGACTCCAAGCAGTTTAGTCTCCTCAACTTGCTCAATTTCCACATTATTTACTAAAATATTTAGTTGAGGTTTAGGGTTTAGTGAATGATTTGTCCCAAATACAATGCGTTTAGTTTTTGAAATATTTAGGACTAATTTATTCCTAGCCACCCATTCTGAAGCTAACTGCAGCTCTTTGCTAAGTGTTGCAGTCATTTCAGTCGCTGTAGTAGCTGACGTGTATAGTGTTGAGTCATCCGCATACATAGACACACTGGCTTTACTCAAGGCCAGTGTCACGACTTCCGCCGAAGTTGGTGCCTCTCCATGTGCGGGCGGCTATCGGCGGTCGTCGTCACCGGCTTTCTAGCTGCCACCGATCTACGTTTCTGTGTTCCATTTGTTTTGTCTTGTTTGTTCACACCTGGCTCCCATTGCATTATGATTATTTACCTATTTAACCCTCTGGTTCCCACATGGTTTTGTGTGTGTTTGTTCCTTGTGTTGTGTCTTACACTTTTGTGAGCTGGTGTGTTTTCCCTGCGTGGAAATTAGTGTTTGTTTTTTTCAGAGTAAAGTACGTCGTGTACTCAGTTCTGTGTCCTGCGCCTGACTCCGTCCTACCGCTGCACATTTGACACATGACAGGAGCACGCACCTAATATAGAGTCAGCAGGTGCAGCCAGTCCTCCGGTGCCAGTGGAGGAGCGCGTCCAGCAGCACGCGACAATGCTTCAGAATCTTGGCACAGCTATGGATCGCGTGTTGCAGACCATGGAGTGATGGGAGAGAGGGGGTTTTCCCAGAACTTCAGGTCAACCCACACCGATGTCCACCCCTCCGTCACCTGGACCCAGTGGGATTCGGCTCTCGCTCCCGAGGGAATATGATTGGACGGCTGCCGGGTGCCAGGGGTTTCTGCTCCAGGTGGAGCTCTACCTGGTGACCGTCCACCCGGCCCCCTGTCAGGGAGAGCGCTTGAGTGGGCCAACGCCGAATGTGGAGGAATAGACGCAGCGTTGGTTCGCTATGAGGATTTCACCCGCCGCTTCCGGGCGGTCTTCGATCATCCACCTGAGGGGAGAGTGGCGGGGGAACGCTTGTTCCACCTCAGACAGGGGAAGAAGAGCGCACAGGACTTCGCACTGGACTTAAGGACTTTGGCGGCCAGCGCGGGATGGAATGAGAGGGCCTTGATTGACCATTACCGGTGCAGTCTACGTGAGGACGTTCGTCGGGAGCTGGCATGCAGGGACACCACCCTTACCCTCGACCAGCTGGTGGATCTATTGATACGGGTGGATAACCTGTTGGCCACCCGCGGACGTTCGGATCAGGGCCCGTCCATTCCATTCCCCAGCACCTCCGACCCTACCCCTATGGAGCTCGGAGGTGCTGCTCTAAGGGTGACCGGACCAACTGTGGCCGCAGAGGGCACACTGCTGGTCGGTGCTGGGGAGGTTCCCCAGGGAGTCGAGGCAGCAGGCAGGGCACTGATGGATCATCCCAGGTGAGTTGGCACCTGACTTACCCAGAGCTCCCTGTTGCGCACATGTGTGTATGTATAGAATTTCCTGAGTTTTCCCCGCATTCCCAGCATAAGGCGCTAGTAGATTCAGGTGCAGCTGGGAACTTTATTGACCGTTCATTTGCACGTAGATTAGGGATCCCTATTGTTCCTGTTGATGTACCCTTCGCTGTACATGCCTTAGATAGTCGTCCTTTAGGGTCAGGCCTGATTAGGGAGGTCACAGCTCCACTATGTATGAAAACGCAGGAGGGTCATGTGGAGAGAATTAGTCTCTTCCTGATCGATTCTCCTGCATTTCCTGTGGTGTTGGGGCTCCCCTGGTTGGCCTCTCATGACCCCACCATTTCGTGGCAACAGAGGGCTCTCAAGGGATGGTGGTCACGTCAGTGCTCGGGGAGGTGTGTAGGTGTTTCCATAGGTGCAACTACGGTGGAGAGTCCAAACCAGGTCTCTACTATGCACATTCCCCCCGAATATGCCGATTTGGCTCTCGCCTTCTGTAAAAAGAATGCGACTCAACTACCACCCCATCGACAGGGGGATTGTGCGATAAATCTCCAGGTAGGCGCAGCAATTCCCAGGAGTCATGTGTATCCTCTGTCTCAGGAGGAGACGGCGGCTATGGAAACATATGTCTCTGAATCTCTGGGACAGGGATACATTCGGCCTTCCACTTCACCTGCCTCCTCAAGTTTCTTTTTTGTGAAGAAGAAGGATGGAGGTTTACGCCCGTGCATTGACTATCGAGGTCTAAATCAGATCACTGTGTAGTACAGTTACCCACTGCCTCTCATAGCCAGTGTGACAGAGTCATTGCACGGGGCGCGCTTCTTCACCAAATTGGATCTCAGGAGCGCTTACAACCTGGTGCTTATCCGGGAGGGGGATGAGTGGAAGACGCCATTTAGTACCACCTCTGGGCACTATGAGTACCTTGTCATGCCGTACGGGTTGATGCATGCTCCATCAGTCTTCCAATCCTTCGTAGACAAGATTTTCAGGGACCTGCACGGGCAGGGTGTAGTGGTGTATTTAGATGACATTCTAATATACTCCGCTACACGCGCCGAGCATGTGTCCCTGGTGCGAAAGGTGCTTGGTCAACTGTTGGAGCATGACCTGTACGTCAAGGCTGAGAAATGTCTGTTCTTTCAACAGTCCGTCTCCTTCCTAGGGTACCGCCTGTCCGCGTCTGGGGTGGAGATGGAGAATGACCGCATTTCAGCCATGCGTAATTGGCCGACTCCAGCCATGACGGATCTTCCTCCGTCACAAGGTAACACCACAATCCTGGTCATTGTGGATCGGTTTTCTAAGTCCTGCCGTCTCCTTCCTTTGCCCGGTCTCCCTACGGCCCTACAGACTGCGGAGGCTCTGTTTACCCACGTCCCCGAGGCCGGTGTCAGCGCGCTGCTGGAGCCGCGCGTCAAGGGGGGGGGGTACTGTCACGACTTCCGCCGAAGTTGGTGCCTCTCCTTGTGCGGGCGGCTATCGGCGGTCGTCGTCACCGGCTTTCTAGCTGCCACCGATCTACGTTTCTGTGTTCCATTTGTTTTGTCTTGTTTGTACACACCTGGCTCCCATTGCATTATGATTATTTCCCTATTTAACCCTCTGGTTCCCACATGGTTTTGTGTGTGTTTGTTCATTGTGTTGTGTCATACACTTTTGTGAGCTGGTGTGTTTTCCCTGCGTGGAAATTAGTGTTTGTTTTTTCAGAGTAAAGTACGTCGTGTACTCAGTTCTGTGTCCTGCGCCTGACTCCGTCCTACCGCTGCACATTTGACCCATGACAGCCAGTGGCAAGTCATTAGTAAAGATTGAAAAAAGCAAGGGGCCTAGACAATGAAGATAGTTCAGTCAGGCCTTTTACAATTGAAAAAAAAATTCCTCAGTTCTGGACTGGTCTACTTAACCAGGTGTGTCTCCCATAGACACATTTTTACATTTACATTTTAGTCATTTAGCAGACGCTCTTATCCAGAGCGACTTACAGTTAGTGCATGCATTTTTCAGACACCAATGCGATAGCAGCTGGGTCTGGTCCAGAGAGGACATATGAAAGAAAACAAAAAATCCCTTGTTATGTCGATATCACAAATTACTTATCTCATGATCACGACATAACAAAAGTTTTTTTTTTTTCCGAGATCGCAAGATAAACTCTATAAATAGGAGTGGATGCATTGATGATAGATTGTCAGTGTGGCTGAGGCAGCAGAGCCCACGGTGGATCAGCGCATACGTTTTTATTGATTGATACACTAAGATATGGTACGTTTCATGCTTACATCATGCTTTTATTTGGGTTTGGAGCTCATTATCAGTTTATAAGTTAGAATGTTAGCAAGTTAAATGTCCCTTACCTTGAGCCAAGAGCTCTTGGGGAATCTAAGCCCTCGTGCGGCATTTAAGCCCTGAACGATGCCTGACAGGCAGGTCAGTTTCCCAGACTGTATGCCACCCCCAAGACAACAGCCAATTCCATGCAAGCAACGACACAGTGCCTTAAGAAAGTATTGATACACCTTGACTTATTTAATATTTTGTTGTGTTACAGCCTGAATTTTTTCACCCATCTAAACACAATACCCCATAATGACAAACTGAAAACATGTTTTTAGAAATGTTTGCAAATGTATTGATAATTAAATACAGCAATATTCATTTACATAAGTATTCACACCCCTGAGTCAATACTTTGTAGAAGCACTTTTGGCATCGATTACAGAGTCTTTCTGGGTAAGTCTCTAAGATCTTTCCACACCTGGATTGCGCAACATTTGCCCATTATTATTTTCATAATTCTTCAAGCTCTTTCAAATTGGTTGTTGATCATTGCTAGACAACCATTTTTAGGTTTTGTAACTCGGTCACTCAGGAACATTCACTGACTTCTTGGTAAGCAACTCCAATATAGATTTGAGCTTTTGTTTTAGGTTATTCTCCTGCTGAAAGGTGAATTCATCTCCCAGTGTCTGGTGGAAAGCAGACTGAACAAGGTTTTCCTCTAGGATTTTGCCTGTGTTTAGCTCTGTTCCGTTAGTAGCTTGGTGGAGTGTGTTTGACGCATTTCTGCGTAAACCTGTATTTTTCTGAATAAAGCCTGTTTCTGTGATTTACCCTCCTGCGCCTGACTCCTTCAACACCACCTTATCACAGTTGCAAACAGGATGCATGTTTCGTAATAGTTTTATTCTGTACAGGCTTCCTTCTTTTCACTCTGTCAATTAGGTTAGTATTGTGGAGTACCTACTGTTAATCCATCCTCAGTTTTCTCCTATCACAGCCATTAAACTCAGTAACTGTTTTAAAGTCACCGTTGGCCTCATGGTGAAATCCCTGAGCGGTTTCCTTCCTCTCTGGCAACTAAGTTAGGAAGGACGCCTGTATCTTTGTAGTGACTGGGTGTATTGATACACCATCCAAAGTGTAATTAATAACTTCACCATGCTCAAAGGGACATTCAATGTCTGCTTTTTTTTTTAATCTACCAATAGGTGCCCTTCTTTGCGAGGCATTGTAAAACTTCCCTGGTGTGTGTGGTTGAATCTGTGTTTGCAATTCATTGCTCGACTGATGGACCTTACAGATAATTGTATGTGTGGGGTACAGAGATGAGGTAGTCATTAAAAAAATCATGTTAAAAACAGTTATTGCACACAGTGTGAGTCCATGCAACTTATTATGTGACTTGTTAAGCACATTTTCACTCCTGAACTTATTTAGGCTTGTCATAACAAAGGGGTTGAATACTTATTTACTCAAGACATTTTTTATTAATTTGTTAAAATAAAAAATTTAACATAATTCCACTTTGACATTATGAGGTATTGTGTTTAGGCCAGTGACAAACAAATCTCAATTTAATCCATTTTAAATGCAGGCTGTAACACAGCAAAGGGTGTGAATACTTTCTGAAGTCCCCTGTAGCTCAGTTGGTAGAGCCTGGCGCTTGCAACGCCAGGGTTGTGGGTTTGTTTCCCACGGGGGGCCAGTATGAAAATGTATGCTCTCACTAACTGTAAGTCGCTCTGGATAAGAGCGTCTGCTAAATGACGTAAATGTACATGAAGGCACTGTAACTTAGCTAGACTGGTTAGCTAGCTAGCTAGCTTGTTACAGTATATGCTGGTTGTTAGCTTGCGTAACTGATATGTGTATAATTGTAAGGGACACTTCATGTTTTATGGATAATATTTATATTTACAAAAGGTCCTTTTTTTTTTTTTTAGCAAGATACACCAATTAATTCAGGCTACAAGAGTGTAGACCCAATGACGATCGCCGAATGTCATTACACCTTTTGGTGTTTTGTAACAGATGTCTCTTTCTTTTCATCAAATGGCGCAAGTGCACAGTGCACTGTTTGGATGTTGGTATTATTTTGGTAACCCAGGTAACCTACTTTTTAAACTTAATTGTTTGGATGGGGCGGCAGGTAGCTTAGTGGTTAAGAGCGTTGTGCCAGTAACCGAAAGATCGAAAAATCTGTCGATGTGCCCTTGAGCAAGTCACTTAACCCTAATTGCTCCTGTAAGTCGCTCTGGATAAGAGCATCTGCTAAATGACTAAAATGTAAATGTAATGGATGTTGGTATTATTTTGGTAAACCAGGTAACCTACTTTTTAAACTTAATTGTTTGCCAATAAGATGAAAACATAATTCCTGGTTGTGTTCACACCAAATTATTATTTATTATTATTATGATTTATTTTTTTATGACTCTTAGAAACGTACTTTTTTTTCATGCACGCGCATAAGGGATCCCGTGAAAAAATAGAGAACCCCGAATGTCACGGTATAATTCGACTGATCCTAGTCAATGAAAACCTAACCATAGAATAAGTAAGTAGTAACATGGGGGGGCAGAGCCAGCCATCCACACACACTCACTGTCTAGTTAAACACACTCCCAGAATGGATGTCAGATTTATCACTGCTGTGTGTGTGTTAGGAAACAACTTACAAGTTCAAGTCTGTTTATTCGTCACATATAGATGGTGTACACTGAGTGCACAAAACATTAGGAACACCTTCATAATATTGAGTTGCACCCCCTTTTGCCCTCAGAACAGCCTCAATTTGTCGGGGCATGGACTGTACAAGGTGTCGAAAGCATTCCACAGGGATGCTGGCCCCCATGTTGACTCCAATGCTTCCCACTGTTGTGTCAAGTTGGCTGGATGTCCTTTGGGTGGTGGACCATTCTTGATACACACAGGAAACTGTTGAGCATGAAAAACCCAGCAGCATTGCAGTTCTTGACACAAACTGGTGCGCCTGGCACCTACTACCATACCCCGTTCAAAGGCACTTAAATATTTTGTCTTGCCCATTCACCCTCTGAATGGCACACATACACAATCCATGTGTCAATTGTCTCAAGGTTTAAGAATCCTTCTTTAACCTGTCTCCTCCCCTTCATCTACACTGATTTAAGTGGATTTAACAAGTGACCTCTATAAGAGATCATAGCTTTCACCTGGATTCACCTGGTCAGTCTGTCATGGAAAGAGCAAGTGGTCTTAATGTTTTGTACACTCAGTGTAATGAAAAGCTTACTTGCAGGTTCACCTCTCGACAATGCAACAACAATAGGAAAAGTAAGTAAGTGAATGAATGAAAGGAGTCTACTGCCATGTCACAGGGTAAGTAGTTTCACATCACAGTAGTGATAAGACATACTGCCATGTCACAGGGCAAGTAGTTTCCCATCACAGTAGTGATAAGTCCCCTGTAGCTCAGTTGGTAGAGCATGGCGCTTGCAACGCCAGGGTTGTGGGTTTGTTTCCCACGGGGGGCCAGTATGAAAAATGTATGCACTCACTAACTGTAAGTCGCTCTGGATAAGAGCGTCCGCTAAATTACTTAAATGTTAAATGTTAAAGACATACCGTCATGTCACAGGGCAAGTAGTTTCACATCACACTCAGTAGTGATAAGACATACCGTCATTTCTCAGGGATAGGAATCATCATCAATATCGCCAAGGCTGAGGACAAAGGTGGCAGGTAAAATCTGTCGATGTGCCCTTTGAGCAATGCACATAATATCAAAATGTAATCTAAAATGTAATCTACATAATCCCCAAAAGTAATTATTTATCATGAGAGGGCCATAAACAATAACTAGTAATATTGCATATTCGAAGAAAGGTTATAACTTGCTGAGGTGTAGTCAATTTTGAGGACACAACCTCAAGTACACAGTACAAATATGATACAAATATGAAAATATGAACTATTTCATACAATGTATTTCCTATTCAACAAAACTATGAGTAAGGCTTAACATGATTTATATGCTTTCTAAGTATAGTATAATCAAATTATTGTTTGAATAACTACAATATAAGATTTCCCCTTATAACTGTAAAATACATATTTGTATGTTTAGTGATAGAGAAAATGTGCATCTTTTTTAAAGGTCTCTCTTGATCAAAAGGACTGTCCCCATCGCTGTGAATGTCTCACAGAGCTCTAGCCTGGCTTCCTGAACTCCTTAGGAACTCGCCTGGCTTCCTGAACTCCTTAGGAACTCGCCTGGCTTCCTGAACTCCTTAGGAACTCGCCTGGCTTCCTGAACTCCTTAGGAACTCGCCTGGCTTCCTGAACTCCTTAGGAACTCGCCTTTCATCTCATATTAATCTTGTCCCTCTATGACAGAGTGTTTTTTGTAAAACATTTATGAATTATTTGAGATTACTTTGATAAAGTTGGCTATAAATCGATCTCTGAATGTGCTAGAGCGACGAAACTAGTCTCTCCTGTTGCGCTACGATGTAAGAATTGCAGGCATGTGCTTTTTTGTCGGGAAACGGTCTTTTCACGCCACTTTGATAGCGAAGTGACTAGCGGGTTAGGAGAATTACCATTGCAGGTTAAGAGACTGAGGTTAAGGTTAGGAAAAGGGTTAGGGTTAACGAACCTGCTACGAAAATCACTTTGTATTGAAGTGAAGTGTCCCATGCTTTGTCAGTGGCTGTGACGTAGGGTTCAGCCAGGAGTTGATAGACAGTCACAAGAGCGAATTAAATGGTAGGAAGGACATCCCAGCTTCAAGTGGTGTCACTCATCCTACGTCACACAGGCGGAAGAGATAAAAAGTCCATGAGAACCATGGCTACCAGGGCTACTAGGGCTACCAGGGCTACCATGGCTACCAGGGCTACCAGGGCTACAAGGGATACTAGGGCTACCAGGGCTACCATGGCTACCAGGGCTACCATGACTACCAGGGCTACAAGGGCTACCAGGGCTACCATGGCTACCAGGGCTACAAGGGCTACTAGGGCTACCAGGGCTACCATGGCTACCAGGGCTACAATGGCTACCAGGGCTACAAGGGCTACTAGGGCTACCAGGGCTACAAGGGCTACCAGGGCTACCAGGGCTACCATGGCTACCAGGGCTACCATGGCTACCAGGGCTACAAGGGCTACTAGGGCTACCAGGCTACCATGGCTACAAGGGCTACCAGGACTACTAGGGCTACCATGGCTACCAGGGCTACCAGGGCTACTAGGGCTACCACGGCTACCAGGGCTACCAGGGCTACCATGGTTACCAGGGCTACCAGGGCTACCAGGGCTTCAAGGGATACCAGGGATACCAGGCTACCAGGGCTACCATGGCTACCAGGGCTACCACGGCTACCAGGGCTACCAGGGCTACCAGGGCTACTAGGGCTACCACGGCTACCACGGCTACCAGGGCTACCAGGGCTACCAGGGCTACCAGGGCTACAAGGGCTACCAGGGCTACCAGGGCTACTAGGGCTACTAGGGCTACCACGGCTACCAGGGCTACCATGGTTACCAGGGCTACCAGGGCTACCAGGGCTACCAGGGCTTCAAGGGCTACCAGGGCTACCAGGCTACCATGGCTTCCAGGGCTACATTTACATTTACATTTACGTCATTTAGCAGACGCTCTTATCCAGAGCGACTTACAAATTGGTGCATTCACCTTATAGCCAGTGGCATAACCACTTTACAATTGTATTTTTTCCTTCTTTTTTTTTGTTGTTGTTATTTTTGTTATTATTATTATTATTTTTTTTTTCATGTATTTTTTTTTGGGAGGGGGGGGGGGGGGGGGGTAGAAGGATTACTTTATCCTATCCCAGGTATTCCTTAAAGAGGTGGGGTTTCAAATGTCTCCGGAAGGTGGTGAGTGACTCCGCTGTCCTGGCGTCGTGAGGGAGCTTGTTCCACCATTGGGGTGCCAGAGCAGCGAACAGTTTTGACTGGGCTGAGCGGGAACTATGCTTCCGCAGAGGAAGGGGAGCCAGCAGGCCAGAGGTGGATGAACGCAATGCCCTCGTTTGGGTGTAGGGACTCATCAGAGCCTGAAGGTACGGAGGTGCCGTTCCCCTCACAGCTCCATAGGCAAGCACCATGGTCTTGTAACAGATGCGAGCTTCAACTGGAAGCCAGTGGAGTGTGCGGAGGAGCGGGGTGACGTGAGAGAACTTGGGAAGGTTGAACACCAGACGGGCTGCGGCATTCTGGATGAGTTGTAGGGGTTTAATGGCACAGGCAGGGAGCCCAGCCAACAGCGAGTTGCAGTAATCCAGACGGGAGATGACAAGTGCCTGGATTAGGACCTGTGCCGCTTCCTGTGTAAGGCAGGGTCGTACTCTCCGAATGTTGTAGAGCATGAACCTACAGGATCGGGTCACCGCCTTGATGTTAGCGGAGAACGACAGGGTGTTGTCCAGGGTCACGCCAAGGCTCTTCGCACTCTGGGAGGAGGACACAACAGAGTTGTCAACCGTGATGGCGAGATCATGGAACGGGCAGTCCTTCCCCGGGAGGAAGAGCAGCTCCGTCTTGCCAAGGTTCAGCTTGAGGTGGTGATCCGTCATCCATACTGATATGTCTGCCAGACATGCAGAGATGCGATTCGCCACCTGGTTATCAGAAGGGGGAAAGGAGAAGATTAGTTGTGTATCGTCAGCGTAGCAATGATAGGAGAGGCCATGTGAGGATATGACAGAGCCAAGTGACTTGGTGTATAGCGAGAATAGGAGAGGGCCTAGAACTGAGCCCTGGGGGACACCAGTGGTGAGAGCACGTGGTGCGGAGACAGCTTCTCGCCACGCCACTTGGTAGGAGCGACCGGTCAGGTAGGACGCAATCCAAGAGTGAGCCGCGCCGGAGATGCCCAGCTCGGAGAGGGTGGAGAGGAGGATCTGATGGTTCACAGTATCAAAGGCAGCAGACAGGTCTAGAAGGACAAGAGCAGAGGAGAGAGAGTTAGCTTTAGCAGTGCGGAGAGCCTCCGTGGCTACCAGGGCTACCAGGGCTACCAGGGCTACTAGGGCTGCTAGGGCTACCACGGCTACCAGGGCTACCAGGGCTACCATGGTTACCAGGGCTACCATGGCTACCATGGCTACCAGGGCTACCAGGGCTACCAGGGCTACCGCTCAGTTCAAGCCATTTCGATCTACAGTGTCCACACATAGATTTCTAAGCTAAAATGTCGGTCGGAACCGGTATCAGAACCATGCAGGTCCTAACCCTAATTTGCTCCAGGATGCCGTACTACTATGGCTGACCCTGAGTACTACTATGGCTGATCCTGAGTACTACTATGGATTAACCTGAGTACTACTATGGCTGACTCAAAGTACTACTATGGCTGACCCTCACTACCACTATGGCTGATCCTCAGTACTACTATGGCTGACCATAAGTACTACTATGGCTGAACCTGAGTACTACTATGGCTGACCCTGAGTACTACAATGGCTGACCCTGCATACTACTATGGCTGACCCTGAGTACTAGTATGGCTGAACCTGAGTACTACTATGGCTGACCCTGAGTACTACAATGGCTGACCCTGAGTACTACTATGGCTGACCCCGAGTACTAGTATGGCTGACCCTGAGTACTACTATTGCTGAACCTGAGTACTACTATGGCTGACCCTGAATACTACTATGGCTGAACCTAAATACTACTATGGCTCACCCTGAGTACTACTATGGCTGACCCTGAATACTACTATGACTGACCCTAAGTATTACTATGGCTGACCCTGTGTACTACTATGGCTGACCCTGAGTACTACTATGGCTGACCCTAAGTACTACTATGTCTGACCCTAAGTACTACTGTGGCTGACCCTGAGTACTACTATGGCTGACCCTTACTACTATGGCTGACCCTGAGTACTAATATGGCTTACCCTAAGTACTGCTATGGCTGACCCTGAGTACTACAATGGCTGACCCAAAGTACTACTATGGCTGAACCTGAGTACTATTATGGCTGACCCTAAGTACTACTATGGCTGACCCTGAGTACTACTATGGCTGACCCTAAGTACTACTATGGCTGACTGTAAGTACTACTATGGCTTATCCTAAGTACTACAATGGCTGACCCTAAGTATTACTATGGCTGAACCTGAGTACTACTATGGCTGACCTAAGTACTACTATGGCTGACCTAAGTACTACTATGGCTGAACCTAAGTACTACTATGGCTGACCTAAGTACTACTGTGGCTGAACCTGAGTACTACTTTGGCTAAACCTGAGTACTGCTATGGCTGAACCTGTAAAACAACACATTTCACTATCAGGTGTGCATAGCAATAAATAGTCAGTGTTGCAACTCGATTACTAGAACATGATCTAGCACAAACATATGTGTGTGTGTGTGTGTGTGTGTGTGTGTGTGTGTGTGTGTGTGTGTGTGTGTGTGTGTGTGTGTGTGTGTCTCTCTGTGTGTGTGTGTGTGTGTGTGTGTGTGTTTTACAGGGCACAGTGTGTATGGATCCAGTGGTGTTGTCGTACAGTCAGACCATGTACATGACTGGCCTTCTGCTGGGATCTCTGTTTGGAGGAGCTCTCTCTGACAGGTGAGACTCACACACACACACACACACACACACACACACACAGTAAACGATACACTGTAACACATGGAAGTTGTGTGTGTGTGTGTGTGTGACCAGGTACGGTAAGCGAGCGGTGCTGCTGGTGTGTGTGTGTGTCCATGCTGTGACCGCTGTGCTGCCGGCCGTCCTTCCTCACGCCCTCCTCTTCCTCACCCTGCGCTGTCTGGCCGGGGTCTCCTGCTGCTGCATCAATATCTGCAGCTTCAGCCTGGGTAAATCACACACACACACACACACACACATACACACACACACACACACACACACACACACACACACACACACACACACACACACAGTTACACACACACACACACAGTTACACACACACATCTACCCTACTGTAACTGTGTGTGTGCATCATGACATGTGCCTTTGGGCTTGTATTTAACTGTGTGTGTGTGTGTGTGTGTGTGTGTGTGTGTGTGTGTGTGTGTGTGTGTGTGTGTAGGTGTGGAGTGGAGTCTTCCCAGGTATCGTATATGGCCCCCGGCCCTCCTGTCTTTCTCCTTCAGCCTGGGTATGATGGCCCTGGCACCGCTGGCATACCTCACACACACCTGGACTCAGCTACACCTGGCGCTGGCCATACCACAGATCCTCTGTCTGCCTCTCTACTAGTGAGTAACACACACAACCCTAACTCTCCCCCTGAAATCAGGCGAGAGAGCGTGAGTAAACCTGTAGTGAAATGCCATGAATCTCCCCCTTCTCAGCTCCAATCAGGAGAGAGAGCGTGAGTAAACCTGTAGTGAAATGCCATGAATCTCCCCCTTCTCAGCTCCAATCAGGAGAGAGAGCGTGAGTAAACCTGTAGTGAAATGCCATGAATCTCCCCCTTCTCAGCTCCAATCAGGAGAGAGAGCGTGAGGAAACCTGTAGTGAAATGCCATGAACCTCCCCCTTCTCAGCTCCATTCCTGAGTCTCCTCACTGGCTGCTCCTGAAGAGGAGGACACACACTCTGGAGAAGTACAGGAGACACAGTCCTGAGGACAAACGCTATCTAGACCTGGTACGCACACACACGCACGCACGCACACACACACACACACACACACATACACACACACACGTCTGTACTATATCAGTGTTCCTAGACTCGACTCAGGCCTGTGTGTGTGTGTGTGTGTGTGTGTGTCGTCTGTTTATCTCGTAGCTGTTGGACACAGAGGGGAAGGACCTGCAGCAAGTTCCCCTGGACACACCTGACAATGAGACACACACACACACACTGGAGACAGACACACACACACTGGAGACAGACACACACACACTGGAGACAGACACACACACACTGGAGAGAGACACACACACACAGGAGACTGACACACACACACTGGAGACTGACACACACACACTGGAGACAGACACACACACACTGGAGAGAGACACACACACACTGGAGAGAGACACACACACACTGGAGACTGACACACACACACCAAAGGCAGACATGCAAACACAGGAGGAAAACATACTTTCCCATTGTGGACACATGAGAAGTCCCACCATCCTACTGCGCCTGATCATCATGAGTTACATTGGGTAGGTGGGTTTGTGTCTGTGTGTGTGTCTGAAGTATTGTTTTGGCTCTGTATTCCAGTGTTACAGGTTTTGGTATTTCCATTTATATTTTGAGGTAGCGCGTTAGCACGTAGGGCGGAACGATTGTTGTCACCTCGTTAGTCAGTATGTGTTACACCAGTACTGGCTTGTCCATCTCGTTAGTCAGTATGTGTTACACCTGTGTTGGCTTGTCCATCTTGTTAGTCAGAATATGTTACACCTGTGTTGGCTTGTCCATCTCGTTAGTCAGTACGTGTTACACCTGTGTTGGCTTGTCCACCTCGTTAGTCAGAATGTGTTACACCTGTGTTGGCTTGTCCACCTCGTTAGTCAGTACGTGTTACACCTGTGTTGGCTTGTCCATCTCGTTAGTCAGAACGTGTTACACCTGTGTTGGCTTGTCCATCTCGTTAGTCAGTACGTGTTACACCTGTGTTGGCTTGTCCATCTCGTTAGTCAGAACGTGTTACACCTGTGTTGGCTTGTCCATCTCGTTAGTCAGAATGTGTTACACCTGTGTTGGCTTGTCCTTTAACCTCATTGTCATTGTATCATTTAAAATCCAAAGTGCTGGAGCACAGAGCCACAACAACATTGTCACTGTTGGAGCTCACTGAATGTGTGTTTAAAAAAAAGAGGTTGTCAGGTTCTATTTCCGTACTCCATTTGTTCTCTAGTCCTGTGCAGTTCAGTTGGTAGAGCATGGAGTTTGCAACACCAGGGTTGTGGGTTTGATTCCCACGGGGTGGCCAGTATGAAAATGTATGCACTCACTAACTGTAAGTCGCTCTGGATAAGAGCGTCTGATAAACGACTGAAATGTAAAATGTTCTACAGCATCTGTCTGATGCGGTCTCTCCCCCCTGTGCATGCGTGTTAGGCTAGCGTCAGCCCTGACGTACTACGGTATCTGTCTGAATGTCGGGCGTTTCGGGGTGGATGTCTTCCTGGCTCAGTTCTTCAGCGGCCTATCAGAGGCACCCTGCCTGCTCGTCCCATTCCTATTGGCCCGCTGTGGCAGACGCCCAATCAGCATGCTGTCCCTGCTCCTCAGTGGCTCCTTCTGCCTGCTGTCCCTGCTCGCATCACGCTTCTACGGTAAACACACACACACACACACACACATACACACAAACCTCCAATGATCCAACATAGTGTGTGTGTGTGTGTAGATGTCCCAGGGTTGGTGATGGCTCTGGCCCTGGTGGGGAAGCTGTGTATGCAGACCACTGTGTTTGTCTCTCTGCTCTACGGCATCGAACTCTTCCCTACGCTCATCAGGTGTGTCTGTGTGTCTGACCCCTGAGATACCTGCAGTCACAGGACTAGTCAGTCCCTATCTCAACCATGTGGGTCAAATGTCATCTTGCTTATCTCCGTGCTTGAGTAATAGATGATGTATGTATCTCTGTTTGTGCAATATGTGTATGTTTGAGTTGTATGGGCGGACTGTATCCTGACTGTGTGTGTGTGTGTGTGTGTGTGTGTGTGTGTGTGTGTGTGTGTGTGTGTGTGTGTGTGTGTGTGTGTGTGTGTGTGTGTGTGTGTTTTTCAGACAGAAGTGTGTGGGCTTGGTGTGTCTGTGTTACAGGGTGGGCTGTATCCTGAATGCGGTGGTCAGTCCTAGAGGAGAAACCATCCCATTGGCCGCTATGATTCTTTATGGGAGTGGCCCCATTGTTGGGGCGGGACTGTGTCTGTTGCTACCGGAGACCAGTGGTGTGCCGCTCCCTGATTCGCTGGAGGACTGTGACAGACAGCCCAGGCTTCACCTACCAACCCTCCCCTTGGCTTGGTCATCATGCTTCAGAAGGCAAGAGACCTTTGACACACACACACACACAAATTACACACTCACCCGATTGGCACAAGTCGCGCACACACTAACACAAATACACGTGGGCATACACACACTTTGCCTGCTACTGGGGAGCTAAATGGTGTGTGTTTGAGTGGGAGTGTGAAACACTTGCAGTGGTCTCTCTCTCTCTCTCTTCAGTTTGTCAACAGCAGCTGGCATGAAATGCTATGACTCAGAGTTCAGACAGCTGGTGTGTGTGTCAGTGTGTGTGTGTGCATGTCAGTGTGTGTGTCAGTGTGTGTGTGTTACATAACTTCTCATTTTAGGTAAGCTATTTACCCCCTCTCTCCCTGCCCACTCCCCCCCTCTACCTCCATGTGTAATGTGACCTGTTTCAGTCCCTACATGCTGTGCACTGACGCCAGTTAAACGTTTACATTGAATTGAGTTGTCAACTAACGTGAAATCAACATGAAATCAAACTAAATGTGAACCATGTCACTTAGGTTAAACATTTGTTTGTGAAAAAAAACATTTAAAAAAAAATGCTTTACATTGTTGACTTTTTTTGCAAATTCAGTTAGTTTTCCACATTGATTAAACATCATTACATTTCTTTTTTTTTTATGACGTGGAAACAACGGTGATTCAACCAGTTTGTGCCCAGTGGGTAGTGTGACCTGCTAGTCAAGAGTGTCCTGGACAAAGAAACATGTTCAATAGAGACACACGGTGGACTCTTGTGTGTTAATGTCTCTCCAGCTGAGATGTGTGTATTTCCTGACAGGCGCTCAGCGGACACCCCGGCTGACAAGGCCTGTCCATTCCTGGGAGACACAGACCCTGAGAAGCCCTCCTACAACCCACAGGAACCCAACTGAACTGAAGAAAAAAAACGCTGCACACACATACACACACTCCACAAACACACGTACTGTAGATCCATATATTTAAAGTTCCATGGAGCTCTGAGATTTAAAGTCCTGTGAACAGGATATGTCAGGATCTCTAACTGCAAAGACTGTAATGCACAGAATGGGTCATGTTCATTTGGCTCAGAACAGAAGAAACTGGGAGATTTTGTCTTCTTTCGCAAAACATGTTGCCACATTGTGCCCTACTGAACACGACACCGGTTTTGCTGTTTAAACTTGTTTTAATCTTTCGGATCTTGTCTCTCCCACAGCCTGTAGAATTTTTTGGGCTGATTCCGTCTACTCCCAAATTCCGTTTTCTCCTTGAGTTGTTTCAGGTTTTGGCTCTCAGAATCACACCTTTTTTAATAGAAAAAACAACAACACTGGATGTTCTACGTCCACAACAACGCTTAAACCACATCAGGAGACCACTTCTGAGATCTGGGACAAATCTAAGAACAGCCAGAGACCATTGTTTGGTTAGCGGTGTTTCTGTAGAGCTCCTGATTGCAGAGTTTACAAAACAAATGGCCACTGGATTGATACAAATAATCATGATATCATTCTGACAGGTAGGCATAGGCTACACTGTAGTTAACGTTTAATAGAGAAGGTTTTTGGGAAAGCCTTTCCATCTACCAGCAGACGGTTATCATTAGCATCATCGCTAACGGATGCACAGTATAGACAAGACATACGATCACCACAACACACAGACGGGCATTCCTCAGCCCTTTCAGAAAGTCGCAGGAAAATACGAATCATTGATGCATTTTGTTTATGTCGTATGATTAACTTGGGCAAATAAAATAAGTTCAATACATTTTTTAATATTGTTGAATTCCGTTATAATGTCTGGATTCCGTGATTCCAGTCAGATTTTAAAGGCCCAGTGCAGTCAAAATTCTGTTTTTACTGTGTTTCGTATCATAATATACAACAGCTGATGAAACTAATACTGTAAAAGTGTGAAAATGTCTTATCAGTGTTATCAGTTTAAGACCTTCTAATCAGCAGGTTTGCATGGGCGGGAGTTTCGGCTTTCCATGGTGACATCAACAGAATTGGTTAATAGACCAATAACAAAGAGTTCCAAACCTCTCTGCCAATAACAGCTAGTTTTCAGTTTTCCCCTCCCGACTCAGACAGTCCTACCAAAATTCTTGCTTGACAAATAGTTGTTTGCTAAAAAGCTATTTTTGCCCATTTTTTTATGGAAATCTATTACAGTAAAATACTTAATTGTTACCCAGAAATGATTAAATATTGATAGAAAGCCTGCTGCATTGGGCCTTTAAACAAAGACCTGTGTGTGGATTGCTGTGTTCACGCTATTCGGACTGATATTCTGAACAGGCCAACTTGCTAAACGCAACACGTGTAAAACTGCAACCAGTTAGCAAGTCAGAAATGTCCGTTTCCTAGTTCCGACTAGCACATGAACACGGCACATGTGTGTTTTTGATGTGAGGAAACGTGACTAACGGGTCCTTGTGTAAACAGCTGTCCAGGGAGGTGCTGCGTGTGAGTTTTTTGTACGTGTGTTATTCTTGCACAATCATTAACTTCCCTTGCACCTTACGGACATTTATACACAGTTTCATGTCGAGTTGACCGGAGATGGAGGCTGTCTTGTTGCTGTGTTTGGTATTGAAAGCAGATGTCTGTAGCTATGTGTAGGAACGTTGTCCTGTCCGGTGACAGGTTCAGACTGTTGATATGACAGATTGTGCCTCAGGATGTGCTGTTGTGTCTCCTTATAGGCCCATGACAGGCAGAGGAATGGTGGCTAGATTCTGTTATTCACTACCTAACATTAAATTAAAGATGGAATTTTCAATTTCATAAGAATGTGTCTTTCCCAGGGCAATAATCTACTATAGCAAGGTAGAATTTTACTCACCCGGACAATCATTCACCACTCACTCACACACACACACACAGAATTGTGTGTGAGTGGTGTGTTTACGTGTGGACATGGGAAATTTGACTTAAAATCACTGATATTACATCCAGACCAGTCATGCTTGCACCAATCTAACGCTTTTAAATGCATGACAGGGGCATATAAGGGAATGGTAGAAAATGGGGCCGCAACCTGAGTGGCGGTAGAGTATATCGCCCTCCTATGGCCAGAAGACAAACTACACCCTTACAGCCACTCTTCTACAAGGTACTTTAATAACATCCACACATTCAGAGAGAAATTAGTACAAATCCTCATTACATACAGATGTTCAGATAAAACAGAAATATTATTTTATATTAAATAAAGTTGATCCAGCATCATAATCCCAGCACCTTCAGTTCAGAACATAAAATAACCAGGAGTTACAGATTTCCCCAATAATTAGAAACGCATTTTATAGAGACAAAAATAAAATAATCTATTGACTTCATTGTAATATGTCAAACCCTCTTGTCAAGCCAGCCAGTTTGTGACTTTATGTATTAGTACCTAAAATAAAAATGGAGAGTTAAAAACACTGTACAGTATCAGTGATAACATTCTTCTGTTCAAGGCTCTAGAACACTGGTACCCTATTCACACAATCTTGCCGACCCAAACTGTACTGCGCCGGCTCGGATATTGTCTTTCTACAATCGCCCTTTCCAGCATGGTTCGGGTCTCTAGAAGTGAACAGAGCTGGCTGCTGGTAACATCTGGGGTGTATTCATTAGTCAAACACCGTAGCAAAAAGGTTTTGCAACAGAAACCATTTACTCCAAAACGGAAACAAATTTTGCAACAAAAACAAGAGTTTATATTTGACAAATTGAGGTAGGTCCCTCCCCGTTTTGAACCGTTTGGCTTCAAAAGCAGGCTGACCTTATAGTGAACTGGACTTACTGGAAAGCGAGCCAAAGAGTAAAGTTCAGGTAGGAACGGTAGTGTGAAAAGAGGCACTAAATAATCTGAAGTGCAGTGAGTGTGGATACCCATAAGGTCCTATAGGAAGACCTGCCCCTGTACTGTAGAATTCAGAGTTGGTAAGTTTGTGTGAATCTTGAACATTGTGGAGTGTGTCCTAAAGAGAGCGAGTGTGTCCTAAAGAGAGCGAGTGTGTCCTAAAGAGAGCGAGTGTGTCCTAAAGAGAGCGAGTGTGTCCTAAAGAGAGCGAGTGTGCCCTAAAGAGAGCGAGTGTGTCCTAAAGAGAGCGAGTGTGTCCCAAAGAGAGCGAGTGTGTCCTAAAGAGAGCGAGTGTGTCCTAAAGAGAGCGAGTGTGTCCTAAAGAGAGCGAGTGTGCCCTAAAGAGAGCGAGTACGTTTCCTCAGTGTGATCATGTAGTGTGTGCTAAAGAGAGCGAGTGTGTGCTAAAGAGAGCGAGTGTGTGCTAAAGAGAGCGAGTGTGTGCTAAAGAGAGCGAGTGTGTCCTAAAGAGAGCGAGTGTGTCCTAAAGAGAGCGAGTGTGTCCTAAAGAGTGCGAGTGCGTTTCCTCAGTGTGATCATGTAGTGTGTTTAAAACATCCCTCCCAGCAGTGTAAGTGTCCGTGTGTGTGTGTCAGACTTGTGTGTGCGTGTTCAGGGGCAGGAGACGAAGTTAGCGGGGAAGATTCCGGTCCGTCCGTTTAGCGTTCCCTCCCACCAGTCATACTGTGACTCTGTCTTGGTAACCACTGTGATGCGGTCGCCAGGGTTGAAGCTCAGGTCGCCAGGCTGTTGCCCTGTGAACGGGTGTATCGCCGTGACGACTTCAGGCCCTGCGTCCCACGGCCCCACCCCACCTAGGAACAGTCACATGATCACAGGTGTATTCAGTGAACAATCTAGGTGAACAACAGGCCTTGATTAATAAATTTGGTGAATAACAGGCCTAGATGAATAATGTTGGTGAACAACAGGCCTTGTTGAATAATGTAGGTGAACAACAGGCCTTGATGAATAATGTAGGTGAACAACAGGCCTTGATGAATAATGTAGGTGAACAACAGGCCTTGATGAATAATGTAGGTGAACAACAGGCCTTGTTGAATAATGTAGGTGAACAACATGCCTTGTTGAATAATGTAGGTGAACAACATGCCTTGTTGAATAATGTAGGTGAACAACATGCCTTGTTGAATAATGTAGGTGAACAGTAGGCCTAGATGAATAATGTAGGTGAAAAACAGGCCTTGTTGAATAATGTAGGTGAACAACATGCCTTGTTGAATAATGTAGGTGAACAACATGCCTTGTTGAATAATGTAGGTGAACAGTAGGCCTTGTTGAATAATGTAGGTGAACAGTAGGCCTTGTTGAATAATGTAGGTGAACAGTAGGCCTTGTTGAATAATGTAGGTGAACAGTAGGCCTTGTTGAATAATGTAGGTGAACAGTAGGCCTTGATGAATGCACATCAAGTCATTACATGCAACGTTCTCAATCAACCTGTATTGAGTGAATGTTGCAGATACAATGAGGCAGACTTGTGAGCATGTAACGGATACGATTGAACGGTTTCAGCCACATACATTAAACGTTACCTTTCAGGTATTTTAACTGTCTAATGTCTACTTGTAAATTGTCTTTACATGTAAATTGTAAAGCATTTTTGTCTGTAATGTCTTTTTCGTTGTGTCGGACCACAGGGATCCTAATAATAATAATAATAATAATAAATACCGTAATCGTTCTGGACTGTCCTTGTGCTACTTGGACTTCTCCTATAGGATCCTGAAACAGAAATACAACAGACAATCACTGTCTGTCAGTAACAGTGAGTGTCTCACCACCAGAGGGCAATACCAGCTCAGAGACAGAGAGAGACAGAGAGAGACAGAGAGAGAGACAGAGAGAGACCGAGAGAGACAGACAGAAAGATACTTCAAATCAGTTATAGGACACATTGCCCTCTATGGTTGTGAGGTCTGGGGTCCACTCACCAACCAATAATTCACCAAATTGGACAAACACCCAATTAAGAATCTGCATGTAGAATTCAGAAAAATATACTTTGTGTACAACACAAAACCCCAAACAATGTATGCAGAGCAGAATTAGGACTATACCCACTAGTTATCAAAATCCAGAAAACAGCTGTTAAATTCTACAACCACCTAAAAGGAAGTGATGCCCACATATTCCCCCACAAAGCCCTCACCCATAGAGAGATTAACCTAGAGAAGAGTCCCCTCAGCCAGCTGGTTCTGGGGCTCTGTTCACAAACACAAACAGACCCCACAGAGCCCCAGGACAGCAACACAATTAGACCCAACCAAATCATGAAAAAGCAAAAAGATAACTATTTGACACACTGGAAAGAATCAACCAAAAAACAGAGCAAACTGGAATGCTATTTGGCCCTAAAACAGAGAGTACACAGTGGCAGAATACCTGACCACTGTGACTGACCCAAACTTAAGGAAAGCTTTGACTATGTACAGACTCAGTGATCATAGCCTTGCTATTGAGAGAGGCCGCCGTAGGCAGACCTGGCTCTCAAGAGAAGACAGGCTATGTGCACACTGCCCACAAAATGAGGTGGAAACTGAGCTGCACTTCCTAACCTCCTGCCAAATGTATGACCACATTAGAGAGACACATTTACCCACAGATCACACAGACCCACAAAGAATTTGAAAACAAATCCAACATTGATAAACTCCCATATCTGTTAGGCGAAATACTGCAGTCTGCCATCACAGCAGCAAGATTTGTGGCCCGTTGCCATGAGAAAAGGGCAAACAGTGGAGCACAAACATTGTAAATACCACCAATATTTATCTGTTTATTTATCTTCCCCTACTATTCATATTACAACTATTTGCACATTGCTAAAACACTGTACATAGCTGATAATATAACACTTGAAATGTCTCTATCAACTGTTAAATTATAATACTGTAGTTTTTTGTTGATTTTTGTCTTCTCACTTTTGTTTGTTTATTTCACAAGAGAGAGGAAGAGAGAGGAAGAGCGAGGAAGAAACAGAGAGGAAGAGAGAAAGAGAGCGATAGAGAGAGATAAAGAGAGAGAGAATGCTACTTGGGAGGTTGTGTGACTGCTCTGCACACACACAGCTAGCTGGTCTTATTACCCAAGGTGCATTGAGAAGCCAGTATGTTTATTTTGGCTGGACTTGAGGTCACAGTTTAATACATCACCTAGACACACACACAATCTCTACCATCACGTCATACTTCACCTGCAGCGAGAACACACACACACACACACTTTTATCTCGTGCGGTGTCGACAGTGGTGTGTGTTTTGGCATGGTGGTCGGCCACTGTGTAAATGAAAGCATTCCCCTTGTCACTGAACCACTGAAGGCTGATCAAACACCTAGGTGTGTGTGTTAATCACACCAGAGACAGAGACGAGAGAAACACAGAGAGAGAGAGAGAGAGAGACAGAGACAGAGAGCCATACAGTAAATGGGGCACAGCCCAAGACTACCACACACATTAGAAGGAGTAATGGAGCCCTGGCAGAGAGAGACAGAGACGAGAGAAACACAGAGAGAGAGAGAGAGAGAGAAACACAGAGAGAGAGAGAGAGAGAGAGAGACAGAGAGAGAGAGAGAGACAGACAGAGACAGACAGAGAGAGAGAGACAGAGACAGAGAGAGAGAGAGAGAGAGAGAGAGAGAGAGAGAGAGAGAGACAGACAGAGAGAGAGAGACAGAGACAGACACAGAGACAGACAGAGACAGACAGAGACAGACACAGAGACAGAGAGACAGACAGACAGACACACACAGACAGAGACAGACAGACACACACAGAGAGAGACAGAGAGACAGACACACACAGAGAGAGACAGAGACATACATTCTGTCTGAAAATTCTACAAGTCCAAAGAAATACACCAACTAATGCATGTAGGGCAGAATTGGGCCGCTTTCCAGTGGTAATGAAAGCACAAAAAATATCATTAAAATTTTGGCTACACCTAAATTCAAGTCCAAATTCAAGTCTCCAATTTAAAGCACTTCAAACCCAAGAGCTGAGCCCAGAAACGAGCCCTCTCAGTCAGCTGGTGTTGGACCTAACCAACCAAGCTGACACCAGCACTGCTTCAAAAGAAACAATTCAAATAAACAAAATCATGAACCAATCAAAAGGACTCATAATTCCAACATTGGAAAAATGAAACAAAAACCCCAAAGCCGACTAAATTGCTATCTGGCTCTGAACAGAGAATATGAATAGGATGATTATCTCTACTCTGTCAGAGATACGAAGCAGAGACAGATCCTTACCAAGTACAGGCTGAGTGACCACCAATTGGCTATGGAAACCGGCAGACATAAAATAAACATGGCTACCCAAAGAGGAGCGTGTATGTGGTCACTGCACGACAGGGGAGGTAGAAACAGAGATACACTACGGCTACCCAAAGAGGAGCGTGTATGTGGTCACTGCACGACAGGGGAGGTAGAAACAGAGATGCTCTTTGTCCTTTACTGTCATAAATATTCCTCACCAAGAAATTCATTATTCACAGAAATTACTACATTTATTCCACATTTTAACTTATTAAACCCAGAGGAAAAACAAAAAATAGTCATGGACGAAGGAGCAACGGCTCATCTTGCAGCCAAATATGTATTTGCCTACCATAGCCCGAGGGACACTGAATAATAACATCTGCATAGTAAGCAGTAATTTACTTATTGTTATTACTATTGTTGCGATTATTATTCTAAATGTTAGTGGTACGGGTAGTAGGCGTGATGGTAATGATAGCAGTTTAATGATGATGTTGGTGGTAGTGGTAATGATGATGATAGTTGTAGTACTGATTTGATGGTGAGGATGACAGTTAAAATTTCATTTCCCATGTTTAGCCTTTTCTATTTATTATATTTCTACTATTGACTGTTACCATTTTATTGTTGTTATTTTATTATTAACTACCATTTTAAATGTATTTTATTATTTGTTATTCCTTATTATTTTATTACAATGTATATTGTCTACATTGTTGCTTTGGCAATATTGACGCAATGTTTTTTTATGCAATAAAGCAGCTTGAATTTGAGAGAGAGAGAGAGAGAGAGAGAGAGAGATGAGAGAGAGAGAGAGAGAGAGAGAGAGAAGAGATAGAGAGAGATGAGAGAGAGAGGAGAGAAGGAAACGAGAGAGAGAGACAAGACAGGAGAAGAGAGAGACAAAGAGAGAGAGACGAGAGACAGTAGAGAGAGAGAGACAGAAGAAGAGAGAGAGAGAGAGACAGGGACACAGAGACAGGAGACAGAAACAGGAGAGAGAGACAGAGAGAGACAGGAGAGAGAGAGACAGACAGAGAGAGATATCATAGAAACAGAAGAGAGAAGAAGAGATGACAGAAGAACAGAGATAGAGAGACACAGAGACATAGATATAGAAAAATGAGAGAAAAGAGAGAGAGAGAGAACAGACACAGAGAAGAGAGGAAGAGAGAGAGACAGGAAGAGAGATACAAAGAGAGAGAACCAGAACAGGAGAGAGACAGGGACACAGAAACAGGAGAGAGACAGGGACACAGAAACAGGAGAGAGAGAGAGACAGAGACACAGAGACAGAGAGACAGAGAGACACAGAGAGGAGAGAGAGAGCGAGAGACAGGAGAGAGACAGGAGAGAGCGAGCGAGCGAGGAGAGATAAAGAGGTAGGAGTGACTGTGTGAGAGAGAAAGAGAGAAAATTACCCCCCCCCCACACACACATACAGTGGGGGAAAAAAGTATTTAGTCAGCCACCAATTGTGCAAGTTCTCCAACTTAAAAAGATGAGAGAGGCCTGTAATTTTCATCATAGGTACACGTCAACTATGACAGACAAAATGAGCATTTTTTTTCCAGAAAATCACATTGTAGGATTTTTAATGAATTTATTTGCAAATTATGGTGGAAAATAAGTATTTGGTCAATAACAAAAGTTTCTCAATACTTTGTTATATACCCTTTGTTGGCAATGACACAGGTCAAACGTTTTCTGTAAGTCTTCACAAGGTTTTCACACACTGTTGCTGGTATTTTGGCCCATTGCTCCATGCAGATCTCCTCTAGAGCAGTGATGTTTTGGGGCTGTCGCTGGGCAACACAGACTTTCAACTCCCTCCAAAGATTTTCTATGGGGTTGAGATCTGGAGACTGGCTAGGCCACTCCAGGACCTTGAAATGCTTCTTACGAAGCCACTCCTTCGTTGCCCGGGCGGTGTGTTTGGGATCATTGTCACGTTTCATCTTCAATGCCCTTGCTGATGGAAGGAGGTTTTCACTCAAAATCTCACGATACATGGCCCCATTCATTCTTTCCTTTACACGGATCAGTCGTCCTGGTCCCTTTGCAGAAAAACAGCCCCAAAGCATGATGTTTCCACCCCCATGCTTCACAGTAGGTATGGTGTTCTTCGGATGCAACTCAGCATTCTTTGTCCTCCAAACACGACGAGTTGAGTTTTTACCAAAAGGTTCTATTTTGGTTTCATCTGACCATATGACATTCTCCCAATCCTCTTCTGGATCATCCAAATGCACTCTAGCAAACTTCAGACGGGCCTGGACATGTACTGGCTTAAGCAGGGGGACACGTCTGGCACTGCAGGATTTGAGTCCCTGGCGGCGTAGTGTGTTACTGATGGTAGGCTTTGTTACTTTGGACCCAGCTCTCTGCAGGTCATTCACTAGGTCCCCCCGTGTGGTTCTGGGATTTTTGCTCACCGTTCTTGTGATCATTTTGACCCCACAGGGTGAGATCTTGCGTGGAGCCCCAGATCGAGGGAGATTATCAGTGGTCTTGTATGTCTTCCATTTCCTAATAATTGCTCCCACAGTTGATTTCTTCAAACCAAGTTGCTTACCTATTGCAGATTCAGTCTTCCCAGCCTGGTGCAGGTCTACAATTTTGTTTCTGGTGTCCTTTGACAGCTGTTTGGTCTTGGCCATAGTGGAGTTTGGAGTGTGACTGTTTGAGGTTGTGGACAGGTGTCTTTTATACTGATAACAAGTTCAAACAGGTGCCATTAATACAGGTAACGAGTGGAGGACAGAGGAGCCTCTTAAAGAAGAAGTTACAGGTCTGTGAGAGCCAGAAATCTTGCTTGTTTGTAGGTGACCAAATACTTATTTTCCACACCATAATTTGCAAATAAATTCATAAAAGATCCTACAATGTGATTTTCTGGATTTTCTTTTCTCAATTTGTCTGTCATAGTTGACGTGTACCTATGATGAACATTACAGGCCTCTCTCATCTTTTTAAGTGGGAGAACTTGCACAATTGGTTGCTGACTAAATACTTTTTTTCACAGGCTTACCCTGGCATGATGTTTTGAAAACCGTATAAGAAAAGTATTGTATTGTAATTTATATATATCAATGTAATTGTCTGCATCATTTCCAATCCCCCATATATTACATACATATACATACAGTTGAAGTCGGAAGTTTACATACACTTAGGTTGAAGTCATTAAAAGTTGTTTTTCAACCACTCCACACATTTCTTGTTAAAAAAACTATAGTTTTGGCAATTCGGTTAGGACATCTACTTTGTGCATGACACGTAATTTCTCCAACAATTGTTTACAGACAGATTATTTCACTTATAATTCACTGTATCACAATTCCAGTGGGTCAGAAGTTTACATACACTAAGTTGACTGTGCCTTTAAACAGCTTGGGAAATTCTAGATGATGATGTCATGGCTTTAGAAGCTTCTGATAGGCTAATTGACATCATTTGAGTCAATTGGAGGTGTACCTGTGGATGTATTTTAAAGCCTACCTACAAACTCAGTGCCTCTTTGCTTGACATCATGAGAAAATCAAAAGAAATCAGCCAAGACCTCAGAAAAACAATTGTAGACCTCCAAAAGTCTGGTTCATCCTTGGGAGAAATTTCCAAATGCCTGAAGGTACCACGTTCATCTGTACAAACAATAGTACGCAAGTATAAACACCATGGGACCACACAGCCGTAATACCGCTCAGGAAGGAGACGCGTTCTGTCTTTTAGAGATGAACGTACTTTGGTGCGAAAAGTGCAAATCAATCCCAGAACAACAGCAAAGGACCTTGTGAAGATGCTGGAGGAAACAGGTACAAAAGTACCTATATCCACAGTAAAACGAGTCCTATATCGACATAACCTGAAAGGCCGCTCAGCAAGGAAGAAGCCACTGCTCCAAAACCGCCATAAAAAAGCCAGACTACGGTTTGTAACTGCACATGGGGACAAAGATCGTACTTTTTGGAGAAATGTCATCTGGTCTGATGAAACAAAAGCAGAACTGTTTGGCCATAATGACCATCGTTATGTTTGGAGGAAAAAAGGGGGAACTTGCAAGCTGAAGAACACCATCCCAACCGTGAAGCACGGGGGTGGCAGCATCATGCTGTGGGGGTGCTTTGCTGCAGGAGGGACTGGTGTACAAAATAGATGGCATCGTGAGGAAGGAAAATAATGTGGATATATTGAAGCAACATCTCAAGACCTCAGTCAGGATGTTAAAGCTTGGTCGCAAATGGGTCTTCCAAATGGACAATGACCCAAAGCATACTTCCAAAGTTGTGGCAAAATGGCTTAAGGACAACAAAGTCAAGGTATTGGAATGGCCATCACAAAGCCCTGACCTCAATCCTATAGAAAATGTGTGGGCAGAACTGAAAAAGGGTGTGCGAGCAAGGAGGCCTACAAACCTGACTCAGTTACACAAGCTCTGTCAGGAGGAATAGGCCAAAATTCACCCAATTTATTGTGGGAAGCTTGTGGAAGGCTACCTGAAACGTTTGACCCAAGTTAAACAATGTAAAGGCAATGCTACCAAATACTAATTGAGTGTTTGTAAACTTCTGACCCACTGGGAATGTGATGAAAGAAATAAAAGCTGAAATAAATCATTCTCTCTACTGTTATTCTGACATTTCACATTCTTAAAATAAAGTGGTGATCCTAACTGACCTAAGACATGGAATTTTTACTAGGATTAAATGACAGGAATTGTGAAAAACTGAGTTTAAATGTATTTGGCTAAGGTGTATGTAAACTTCCAACTTCAACTGTACACCACTACAACCACAGATTTCTCCATCCTAAGTAACCTGATTCAATCTGCACAGAACCACGTTAGTCTTACATTCGCATGGTGGATTTGTTTTTGCGCTAGATCAGGGTTGGAGTGAAAACCTACAGGACGGTAAATAGCTCTCCAGGAACAGGGTTGGAGTGAATACCTACAGGACGGTAAATAGCTCTCCAGGAACAGGGTTGGTGTGAATACCTACAGGACGGTAAATAGCTCTCCAGGAACAGGGTTGGAGTGAAAACCTACAGGACGGTAAATAGCTCTCCAGGAACAGGTTTGGAGAGTCCTGGTTTAACCCTGATTTCAGCAAGTAAGAAGAGAAGAGGAGCACTGACTTGTGTTCCAATAGACAGAGGGTGGTGAAGTTGGTGATGAAGGGTTTGGGGAAGGGGTCACTCACCTGTGCTGTCAGATTTGAAGGCAGAGATGCTTGGATAAAGGGAGGGCTTCACTGCTAAAAACACACACAGAGACATCAGTCAAAGACAGAGGAATTTCCTTCTGAACAATAAAGTATTGTAGCCAACCCACACAAACACTAGCTACACAGCACGCATGTTACTGGTAGAAAACAGCACAACTACTGTTTGTGTGATATATACAGTGGGGAGAACAAGTATTTGATACACTGCCGATTTTGCTGGTTTTCCTACTTACAAAGCATGTAGAGGTCTATAATTGGTATCATAGGTACACTTCAACTGTGAGAGACAGAATCTAAAACAAAAATCCAGAAAATCACATTGTATGATTTTTAAGTAATTAATTTGCATTTTATTGCATGACATAAGTATTTGATACATCAGAAAAGCAGAACTTAATATTTGGTACAGAAACCTTTGTTTGCAATTACAGAGATCATACGTTTCCTGTAGGTCTTAACCAGGTTTGCACACACTGCAGCAGGGATTTTGGCCCACTCCTCCATACAGACCTTCTCCAGATCTTTCAGGTTTCGGAGCTATCGCTGGGCAATACAGACTTTCAGCTCCCTCCAAAGATTTTCTATTGGGTTCAGGTCTGGAGACTGGCTAGACCACTCCAGGACCTTGAGATGCTTCTTACGGAGCCACTCCTTAGTTGCCCTGGCTGTGTATTTCGGGTCGTTGTCTTGCTGGAAGACCCAGCCACGACCCATCTTCAATGCTCTTACTGAGGGAAGGAGGTTGTTGGCCAAGATCTCGCGATACATGGCCCCATCCATCCTCCCCTCAATACGGTGCAGTCGTCCTGTCCCCTTTGCAGAAAAGCATCCCCAAAGAATGATGTTTCCACCACCATGCTTCACGGTTGGGATGGTGTTCTTGGGGTTGTACTCATCCTTCTTCTTCCTCCAAACACGGCGAGTGGAGTTTAGACCAAAAAGCTATATTTTTGTCTCATCAGACCACATGACCTTCTCCCATTCCTCCTCTGGATCATCCAGATGGTCATTAGCAAACTTCAGACGGGCCTGGACATGCGCTGGCTTGAGCAGGGGGACCTTGCGTGCGCTGCAGGATTTTAATCCATGACGGCGTATTGTGTTACTAATGGTTTTCTTTGAGACTGTGGTCCCAGCTCTCTTCAGGTCATTGACCAGGTCCTGCCGTGTAGTTCTGGGCTGATCCCTCACCTTCGTCATGATTATTGATGCCCCACGAGGTGAGATCTTGCATGGAGCCCCAGACCGAGGGTGATTGACCATCATCTTGAACTTCTTCCATTTTCTAATAATTGCGCCAACAGTTGTTGCCTTCTCACCAAGCTGCTTGCCTATTGTCCAGTAGCCCATCCCAGCCTTGTGCAGGTCTACAATTTTATCCCTGATGTCATTACACAGCTCTCTCTTGGCCATTGTGGAGAGGTTGGAGTCTGTTTGATTGAGTGTGTGGACAGGTATCGAGTTCAAACAGGTGCAGTTAATACAGGTAATGAGTGGAGAACAGGAGGGCTTCTTAAAGAAAAACTAACAGGTCTGTGAGAGACGGAATTCTTACTGGTTGGTAGGTGATCAAATACTTATGTCATGCAATAAAATGCAAATTATTTCCTTAAAAATCATACAATGTGATTTTCTGGATTTTTGTTTTAGATTCCGTCTCTCACAGTTGAAGTGTACCTATGATAAAAATTACAGACCTCTACATGCTTTGTAAGTAGGAAAACCTGCAAAATCAGCAGTGTATCAAATACTTGTTCTCCCCACTGTGTGTGTGTGTGTGTGTGTATATATACAGTGGGGGAAAAAAGTATTTAGTCAGCCACCAATTGTGCAAGTTCTCCCACTTAAAAAGATGAGAGAGGCCTGTAATTTTCATCATAGGTACACGTCAACTATGACAGACAAAATGAGAAAAAAAATTCCAGAAAATCACATTGTAGGATTTTTTATGAATTTATTTGCAAATTATGGTGGAAAATAAGTATTTGGTCAATAACAAAAGTTTCTCAATACTTTGTTATATACCCTTTGTTGGCAATGACACAGGTCAAACGTTTTCTGTAAGTCTTCACAAGGTTTTCACACACTGTTGCTGGCCCAATTTTGGCCCATTCCTCCATGCAGATCTCCTCTAGAGCAGTGATGTTTTGGGGCTGTCGCTGGGCAACACGGACTTTCAACTCCCTCCAAAGATTTTCTATGGGGTTGAGATCTGGAGACTGGCTAGGCCACTCCAGGACCTTGAAATGCTTCTTACGAAGCCACTCCTTCGTTGCCCGGGCGGTGTGTTTGTCATGCTGAAAGACCCAGCCACGTTTCATCTTCAATGCCCTTGCTGATGGAAGGAGGTTTTCACTTAAAAATTCACGATACATGGCCCCATTCATTCTTTCCTTTACATGGATCAGTCGTCCTGGTCCCTTTGCAGAAAAACAGCCCCAAAGCATGATGTTTCCACCCCCATGCTTCACAGTAAGTATGGTGTTCTTTGGATGCAACTCAGCATTCTTTGTCCTCCAAACACGACGAGTTGAGTTTTTACCAAAAAGTTATATTTTGGTTTCATCTGACCATATGACATTCTCCCAATCCTCTTCTGGATCATCCAAATGCACTCTAGCACACTTCAGACAGGCCTGGACATGTACTGGCTTAAGCAGGGGGACACGTCTGGCGCAGCAGGATTTGAGTCCCTGGCGGCGTAGTGTGTTACTGATGGTAGGCTTTGTTACTTTGGTCCCAGCTCTCTGCAGGTCATTCTCTAGGTCCCCCCGTGTGGTTCTGGGATTTTTGCTCACCGTTCTTGTGATCATTTTGACCCCACAGGGTGAGATCTTGCGTGGAGCCTCAGATCGAGGGAGATTATCAGTGGTCTTGTATGTCTTCCATTTCCTAATAATTGCTCCCACAGTTGATTTCTTCAAACCAAGCTGCTTACCTATTGCAGATTCAGTCTTCCCAGCCTGTTGCAGGTCTACAATTTTGTTTCTGGTGTCCTTTGACAGCTCTTTGGTCTTGGCCATAGTGGAGTTTGGAGTGTGACTGTTTGAGGTTGTGGACAGGTGTCTTTTATACTGATAACAAGTTCAAACAGGTGCCATTAAAACAGGTAACGAGTGGAGGACAGAGGAGCCTCTTAAAGAAGAAGTTACAGGTCTGTGAGAGCCAGAAATCTTGCTTGTTTGTAGGTGACCAAATACTTATTTTCCACCATAATTTGCAAATAAATTCATAAAAAATCCTACAATGTGATTTTCTGGATTTTGTTTTCTAAATTTGGCTGTCATAGTTGACGTGTACCTATGATGACAATTACAGGCCTCTCTCATCTTTTTAAGTGGGAGAACTTGCACAATTGGTGGCTGACTAAATACTTTTTTTCCCCACTGTATATATATATATATACATACATACATACATACATACATACATACACACACATATATGCACACACACACACACACACACACACACACATACAGTGAGGGAAAAAAGTATTTGATCCCCTGCATTTGCCCACTGACAAAGACATGATCAGTCTATAATTTTAATGGTAGGTTTATTTGAACAGTGAGAGACAGAATAACAACAACAAAATCCAGAAAAACGCATTTCAAAAATGTTAAAAATTGATTTGCATTTTAATGACCCCTCTGCAAAACATGACTTAGTACTTGGTGGCAAAACCCTTGTTGGCAATCACAGAGGTCAGACGTTTCTTAAATTGGCCACCAGGTTTACACACATCTCAGGAGGGATTTTGTCCCACTCCTTTTTGCAGATCTTCTCCAAGTCATTAAGGTTTCGAGCGTGACGTTTGGCAACTCGAACCTTCAGCTCCCTCCACATATTTTCTATGGGATTAAGGTCTGGAGATTGGCTAGGCCACTCCAGGACCTTAATGTGCTTCTTCTTGAGCCACTCCTTTGTTGCCTTGGCCGTGTGTTTTGGGTCATTGTAATGCTGGAATACCCATCCACGACCCATTTTCAATGCCCTGGCTGAGGGAAGGAGGTTCTCACCCAAGATTTGACGGTACATGGCGCCGTCCATCGTCCCTTTGATGTGGTGAAGTTGTCCTGTCCCCTTAGAAGAAAATCACCACCAACGCATGTTTCCACCTCCATGTTTGACGGTGGGGATGGTGTTCTTGGGGTCATAGGCAGCATTCCTCCTCCTCCAAACACGGCGAGTTGAGTTGATGCCAAAGAGCTCGATTTTGGTCTCATCTGACCACAACACTTTCACCCAGTTCTTCTCCGAATCATTCAGATGTTCATTGGCAAACTTCAGACGGGCCTGTATATGTTCTTTCTTGAGCAGGGGGACCTTGCGGGCGCTGCAAGATTTCAGTCCTTCACGGTGTAGTGTGTTACCAATCGTTTTCTTGGTGACTATGGTCCCAGCTGCCTTGAGATCATTGACAAGATCCTCCTGTGTAGTTCTGGGCTGATTCCTCACCGTTCTCATGATCATTGCAACTCCACGAGGTGAGATCTTGCATGGAGCCCCAGGCCGAGGGAGATTGACAGGTCTTTTGTGTTTCTTCCATTTGCGAATAATCGCACCAACTGTTGTCACCTTCTCACCAAGCTGCTTGGCGATGGTCTTGTAGCCCATTCCAGCCTTGTGTAGGTTTACAATCTTGTCCCTGACATCTTTGGAGAGCTCTTTGGTCTTGGCCATGGTGGAGAGTTTGGAATCTGATTGATTGATTGCTTCTGTGGACAGGTGTCTTTTATACAGGTAACAAACAGATTAGGAGCACTCCCTTTAAGAGTGTGCTCCTAATCTCAGCTCGTTACCTGTATAAAAGACACCTGGGAGCCAGAAATCTTTTTGATTGAGAGGGGGTCAAATACTGATTTCCCTCATTAAAATGCTAATCAATTTATAACATTTTTGACATGTGCTTTTATGGATTTTTTGTTGTTGTTATTCTGTCTCTCACTGTTCAAATAAACCTACCATTAAAATTATAGACTGATAATTTCTTTGTCAGTGGGCAAACGTACAAAATCAGCAGGGGATCAAATACTTTTTTCACCTCACTGTATATGTGTGTGTGTGTGTGTGTGTTACCCTATGTCCTGTATGTGTGTGTGTGTGTGTGTGTGTGTTACCCTCTGTCCTGTATGTGTGTGTGTGTGTGTGTGTGTTACCCTCTGTCCTGTATGTGTGTGTGTGTGTGTGTGTGTGTGTGTGTGTGTGTGTGTGTGTGTGTGTGTGTGTGTGTGTGTTACCCTCTGTCCTGTATGTGTGTGTGTGTGTGTGTGTGTGTGTTACCCTCTGTCCTGTATGTGTGTGTGTGTGTGTGTGTGTGTGTGTTACCCTCTGTCCTGTATGTGCTAGCAGGTCTCTGTGCGGCTGGAGCTCGGGGTCTAGCTGGGGGACCACTGGACTGAACGGCCTGAACGACAACACCCAGAAACAGAGGGATGGAAGAAGAGAGAAGACCACAGAAGAGGAAAAAAACATGAGACTAACCACACACCCCACCAACCACACACCCCACCAACCATCAACCCCCCCACCAACCACACCCCCAACTAACCACCCCCCCCAACAACCACACACCCCACCAACCATCAACCACCCCCCCCACCAACCATCAACCACCCCCCCCACCAACCACACCCCCAACTAACCACCCCCCCACCAACCATCAACCCCCCCACTAACCACACCAACAACTAGCTTGGTACACATTAAGACTAGAGGTACTCAGACCAACATGCTGTTGTGGGTTTGAGCTTGGTACACATTAAGGGGTAGACAGTGTCCTGGGGTAAAGAGTAGATATCCATCAGGGGTAGAGATTAGACAGGGAGGGATATTATTACATTTGGGACATATGGGTTTGATGGTCTGCTGTATAAAAACAGCAGTATTCTATAATATACAATAATGCAGTGTACCTTTTAGTACTCCTGACAGTCCATCCAGTAGCGTATCCATCAGTACATTTAAGCAATAAGGCCTGAGAGGGTGTGGTATATGGCCAATATACCACGGCTATGGGCTGTTCTTATACACAACGCAACGCCGAGTGCCTGTACACAGCCCTTAGCCGTGGTATATTGGCCATATACCACAAACCCCCCGAGGTGCCTTACTGCTATTATAAACGTAGTTAGAGCAGTAAAAATGAAATGTTTTGTCATACCCATGGTATACGGTCTGATATACCACTGCTGTCAGCCAAATCAGCATTCAGGGCTCCAACCACCCAGTTTATAATCATCGATATAAAGTACCGTTGTAATACCCTTTCTAGCCTTTTTCTTACTGATGATGGCTGCTTTAGTGAGGAAATGTTTACTGACTGACTGGGAGATGTGGTTGCCACCTAGCTATGTCAAGATGAATGCAACTGAAATAAGTAAGTAGCTCAAATGTAAAATGTGATGTAAATGCAGTCTCCAGTAATAAAACAGTGGTACTCAGTACCAGATATTAAACACTATATATACACACACACAAAAGTATGTGGACACCCCTTCAAAATTAGTGGATTTGGCTATTTCAGCCACACTCGTTGCTGACAGGTGTATAATATTGAGCACACAGCCATGCAATCTCCATAGACAAACATTGGCAGTAGAATGGCCCGTACTGAAGAGCTCAGTGACTTTCAACGTGGCACCGTCAGTTTGTCAAATTTCTGCCCTGCTTGATCTGCCCCGCTCAACTGTAAGTGCTGCTATTGTGAAGTGGAAACGTCTAGGAACAACAACGGCTCAGCCGCGTAGTGGTAGGCCACACAAGCTCACAGAACGGGACCACCAAGTGCTGTAGCGCGTAAAAATCGTCTGTCGTCAGTTGCAACACTCACTATCGAGTTCAAAACTGCCTCTGGAAGCAACGTCAGCACAAGATCTGTTCATCGGGAGCTTCATGAAATGGTTTCCATGGCCGAGCAGCTGCACACAAGCCTAAGACCACCATGTGCAATGCCAAGCATTGGCAAGAGTGGTGTAAAGCTCGCCGTCATTGGACTCTGGAGCAGTGGAAATGCGTTCTCTGGAGTGATGAATCACACTTCACCATCTGGCAGTCCGACAGACGAATCTGGGTTTGGCAGATGCCAGGTGAACGCTACCTGCCCCAATGCATAGTGCCAACAGTAAAGTTTGGTGGAGGAGGAATAATGGTCTGGGGCTGTTTTTCACGGTTCGGGCTAGGCCCCTTAGTTCCAGTGAAGGGAAATATTAACGCTACAGCATACAATTACATTCTAGATTATTCTGTGCTTCCAACTTTGTGGCAACAGTTTGGGGAAGGCCCTTTCCGTTTTCAGCATAACAATGCCCCTGTGCACAAAGCGAGGTCCATACAGAAATGGTTTGTAGAGATCGGTGTGGAAGAACTTGACTGGCCATAGCAGAGCCCTGACCTCAACCACCTTTGGGATGAATTGGAACGCCGACTGCGAGCCAGGCCTAATCGCCCAACATCAGTGCCCGACCTCACTAACACTTGTGGTTGAAGCAAGTCCCCGTAGCACTGTTCCAACATCTAGTGGAAAGTCTTCCCAGAATTGTGGAGGCTGTTATAGCAGCAAAGGGGGGGACCAACTCCATATTAAGCAGGTGTCCACATACTTTTGGTCATGTAGTGTATTATAATAATACAGTACCATCTGTGCTAGTTGCTTGGCTGTCCATTCAGTAGCGTGTTATAATATACAGTGCCTTGCAAAAGTATTCATCCCCCTTGGCATTTTTCCTATTTTGTTGCATTACAACCTGTAATTTAAATGGATTTTTATTTGGATTTCATGTAATGGACATACACAAAATAGTCCAAACTGGTGAAGTGAAATGAAAAAAATAACTTTTTTCAAAAAATTCTAAAAACTAAATAACAGAAAAGTGGTGCATGCATATGTATTCACCCCCTTTGCTATGACGCCCTTAAATAAGATCTTGTGCAACCAATTACCTTCAGAAGTCACATAATTAGTTAAACAAAGTCCCCCTGTGTGCAAACTAAGTGTCACATGATCTTCAGTATATATACACACACCTGTTCTGAAAGGCCCCAGAGTCTGCAACACCACCAAGCAAGGGGCACCACCATGAAGACCAAGGAGCACTCCAAAACAGGTCAGGGACAAAGTTGTGGAGAAGTACAGATCAGGGTTGGGTTATAAATAAAAATATCTGAAACTTTGAACATCCCACGGAGCACCATTAAATCCATTATTTAAAAATGGAACGAATATGGCACCACAACAAACCTGCCAAACACTCCACAGAGCTGGGCTTTACGGAAGAGTGGCCAGAAAAAAAGCCATTGCTTAAAGAAATAAATAAGCAAACACGTTTGGTGTTCGCCAAAAGGCATGTGGGAGACTCCCCAAACATATGGAAGAATGTACTCTGGTCAGATGAGACTAAAATTGAGCTTTTTGGCCATCAAGGAAAACGCTACGTCTGGCGCAAACCCAACACCTCTCATCACCCCGAGAACACCATCCCCACAGTGAAGCATGGTGGTGGCAGCATCATAATGTGGGGATGTTTTTCATCGGTAGGGACTGGGAAACTGGTCAGAATTGAAGGAATGATGGATTGCGCTAAATACAGGGAAATTATTGAGGGAAACCTGTTTCAGTCTTCCAGAGATTTGAGACTGGGACGGTTCAACTTCCAGCAGGACAATGACCCTAAGCATACTGCTAAAGCAACACTCGAGTGGTTTAAGGGGAAACATTTCAATGTCTTGGAATGGCCTAGTCAAAGCCCAGACCTCAATCCAATTAAGAATATGTGGTACGACTTAAAGATTGCTGTACACCAGCAGAACCCATCCAACTTGAAGGAGCAGTTTTGCCTTGAAGAATGGGCAAGAATCCCAGTGGCTAGATGTGCCAAGCTTATAGAGACATACCCCAAGAGACTTGCAGCTGTAATTGCTGCAAAAGGTGGCTCTACGAAGTATTGACTTTGGGGGGGGGGTGAATAGTTATGCACGCTCAAGTTCTCTGTTTTTGTGTCTTTTTTCTTGTTTGTTTCACAATAAAAAATATTTTGCATCTTCAAAGTGGTAGGTGTGTTGTGTAAATCAAATGATACAATTTTAATTCCAGGTTGTAAGGCAACAAAATAGGAAAAATGCCAAGGGGGTGAATACTTTCGCAAGCCACTGAACAAAACTACACTGCTCAAAAAAATAAAGGGAACACTAAAATAACACATCCTAGATCTGAATGAATGAAATAATCTTATTAAATACTTTTTTCTTTACATAGTTGAATGTGCTGACAACAAAATCACACAAAAATTATCAATGGAAATCAAATGTATCAACCCATGGAGGTCTGGATTTGGAGTCACCCTCAAAATTAAAGTGGAAAACCACACTACAGGCTGATCAAACTTTGATGTAATGTCCTTAAAACAAGTCAAAATGAGGCTCAGTGGTGTGTGTGGCTTCCACGTGCCTGTATGACCTCCCTACAACGCCTGGGCATGCTCCTGATGAGGTGGCGGATGGTCTCCTGAGGGATCTCCTCCCAGACCTGGACTAAAGCATCCGCCAACTCCTAGACAGTCTGTGGTGCAACGTGGCGTTGGTGGATGGAGCGAGACATGATGTCCAAGATGTGCTCAATTGGATTCAGGTCTGGGGAACGGGCGGAACAGTAAATAGCATCAATGCCTTCCTCTTGCAGGAACTGCTGACACACTTCAGCCACATGAGGTCTAGCATTGTCTTGCATTAGGAGGAACCCAGGGCCAACCGCACCAGCATATGGTCTCACAAGGGGTCTGAGGATCTCATCTCGGTACCTAATGGCAGTCAGGCTACCTCTGGCGAGCACATGGAGGGCTGTGCGGCCCCCCAAAGAAATGCCACCCCACACCATGACTGACCCCACTGCCAAACCGGTCATGCTGGAGGATGTTGCAGGCCGCAGAACGTTCTCCACGGCGTCTCCAGACTCTGTCACGTCTGTCACATGTGCTCAGTGTGAACCTGCTTTCATCTGTGAAGAGCACAGGGCGCCAGTGGCGAATTTGCCAATCTTGGTGTTCTCTGGCAAATGCCAAACGTCCTGCACGGTGTTGGGCTGTAAGCACAACCCCCACCTGTGGACGTCAGGCCCTCATACCACCCTCATGGAGTCTGTTTTCTGACCGTTTGAGCAGACACATGCACATTTGTGGCCTGCTGGAGGTCATTTTGCAGGGCTCTGGCAGTGCTCCTCCTGCTCCTCCTTGCACAAAGGCGGAGGTAGCAGTCCTGATGTACTGGCCTGTCTCCTGGTAGCGCCTCCATGCTCTGGACACTACGCTGACAGACACAGCAAACCTTCTTGCCACAGCTCGCATTGATGTGCCATCCTGGATGAGCTGCACTACCTGAGCCACTTGTGTGGGTTGTAGACTCCGTCTCATGCTACCACTAGAGTGAAAGCACCGCCAGCATTCAAAAGTGACCAAAACACCAGCCAGGAAGCATAGGAACTGAGAAGTGGTCTGTGGTCACCACCTGCAAAACCAGTCCTTTATTGGGGGTGTCTGGCTAATTACCTATAATTTCCACCTGTTGTCTATTCCATTTGCACAACAGCATGTGAAATGTATTGTCAATCAGTGTTGCTTCCTAAGTGGACAGTTTGATTTCACAGAAGTGTGATTGACTTGGAGTTACATTGTGTTGTTTAAGTGATCCCTTTATTTTTTTGAGGAGTGTATTTCTGGTAAATGCCATGTGGGGAACGAGTTAATAATAATAATAATAATAATAATAATAATATAGTACCTTCTGTGCTAGGTGCTTGGCTGTCCACTCAGTAGTGTATTTATCTGTGTAGGTCTCTAGGACACAGTATAGGTCATCAGCTTCTGGGGGAGGCTCTACATCTCCGTTCAATATGGCCGACGCACGGATGTCCTGGGAGTAGAACCTAACACACCACACACACACACACACACATTAATACAACACACACACACATACATTATTACCACACACACATTAATACAACACACACACACATTAATACAACACACACACACACATTAATACAACACACACACACACATTAATACAACACACACATTAATACAACACACACATTAATACAACACACACACACACACATTATTACAACACACACACATTAATACAACACACACATTAATACAACACACACACACACACACACACATTATTACAACACACACACATATTAATACAACACCACACACACACACACATTATACCCACACACATTAATACAACACACACACAACAATTAATACACACCACACACACATTATACAACACCACACACACACATTATTACAACACACAACACCCAATTAAACCCACAACACACACACACACACACACACATTATTACCACACACACACACACACATTAATACAACACACACACACACATTAATACAACACACACTTAACACACACACATTAATACAACACACACACACACACACACATTATTACCCACACACACATTAATACAACACACACACACACATTAATACAACACACACACACATTAATACAAACACACACACACACACACACATTAATACAACACACACACACACATTAATACAACACACACCACACACACATTAATACAACACACACACACATTAATACAACACACACACACACATTATTACACCACACACACGGTGTGTAACGTACTTGCGGTTGGTGTCTTTGCGTTCTATGAGGCAGGATCCCTCCAGAGAGACTCCAGCGAACAGCCCTCTGGACTTACAGTAGGTAAAGACTGCTGCCGTACTACGCAACGCTACGTCAGCCTCCACGTTCCTACACACACACACACACGGACACACACACACACACGGACACACACACACACAGAGAGAGAGATAGAGGAAGATAGAAGTGAGTGTTTGGAGTATGATACTGCTCAGAATCCCACTTCTTAGCGATGAGTACTGAAGGAGACCACTAGACCTCCACTGACATCAGAAACCATCAAATATACTGGCCACGTCTCTGTCCGTGTGTGTGTGTGTGTGTGTGTGTGTGTGTGTGTGTGTGTGTGTGTGTAGGGAGGTCCCATGTTGTAAATGTCACCTGAACAAAAAAAAAAAGACACTCCCATCTCAGACATTAACCTCTTTATTGTTTTATTGTTGCTGTATTTAACAGACACCCACAGACGCATGCACACCCCTCCCTCCCTCATCTCCACCTGGCCTTGTTTGATGCTAATTGTATTTTACTTATTTTAATTACCCAACCTGGCATGTCATTCTAAATAAAGACTGAGGGAGCCTGCTCCAGGCATCATTCCACCTCCACTCATAAACCATAATTAACCGTGCGCCAACACGAGCAACCCCTCCAACACGCACCACAACTATCACGCACGCAACACGCACACACACACACACAACTATCACGCACGCAACACACACACACACACACACAACTATCACGCACGCAACACACACACACAACTATCACGCACGCAACACACACACACACACCTGCCTCCACCCTATAAAATCACTTCGACACCAATGACACACACACACACACACACACACACACACACACACACGTCATCCATGATGACACATCACAAAACCATTTCCCCTCCAAAACCCCAGCTCAGACATTCAAGTGTCCACATCAAAGCGTCCAGTTTAAAATAAGGTGTGAAAACTAGGTGTAGAACTGGTGTGACTTCAACACTGCCAGTACCCCTAACCCACAGCCTCAACCTTGGGTACCCCTAACCCACAGCCTCAACCTTGGGTACCCCTAACCCACAGCCTCAACCTTGGGTACCCCTAACCCACAGCCTCAACCTTGGGTACCCCTAACCCACAGCCTCAACCTTGGGTACCCCTAACCCACAGCCTCAACCTTGGGTACCCCTAACCCACAGCCTCAACCTTGGGTACCCCTAACCCACAGCCTCAACCTTGGGTACCCCTAACCCACAGCCTCAACCTTGGGTACCCCTAACCCACAGCCTCAACCTTGGGTACCCCTAACCCACAGCCTCAACCTTGGGTACCCCTAACCCACAGCCTCGGGGCTGGAACACATCAAAAAAGGTTGAGCCATGGTCGGACACTGACTGGTTTTGGCCAACCATGGACCAAGATTATGATGAGTGTGTGTGTGTGTGTGTGTGTGTGTGTGTGTGTGTGTGTGTGTGTGTGTGAGAGCACTCACCTTCCCATCGGTCCTACTGCCACAGTACAGTTGCCGCCCAGAGTGAGGTTCCCTCCTTTAGAGAAAGAATCCACTGCCCTGCGCTGCATCAGAATCACCACCAGGTCTGAAACCTATACACACACAGACACAGACACAGACACATACACACACACACACACACACACACACAACTGATTAGTTGAATCGGGTTTGTTAGTGCTGGGTTGGAACAGCCTCACACAGAGATCAACTATCTATTCTATAACTATTGTAGTGTTTAGGCAAAGATAGAAAGAAAGAAAGGATGGATGGGGAGCGTTGCTGCACAGCGATTTTCAGGTCTCTCTAGAGATGTTAGATCGGGTTAAAGTCCGGGCTCTGGCTGAGTCACTCAAGGACATTCAGAGACTTGTCCCGTAGCCACTCCAGTGTTGTCTTGGCTATGTGCTTAGGGTCGTTGTCCTGTTGGAAGGTGATCCTTTTCCCCAATCTGAGGTCCTGAGCGCTCTGGACCAGGTTTTCATCAAGGATCTCTCTGTACTTTGCTCTGTTCATTTTTCCCTTGATCCTGACTAGTCTCCCAGTCCCTGCCGCTGACAAACATCCCCACAGCATGATGCTGCCACCACCATGCTTCACCGTAGGGATGGTGCCATGTTTCTACCAGACGTGACGCTTGGCATTCAGGCCAAAGAGTTCAATCTTGGTTTCATCAGACCAGAGAATCTTGTTTCTCATGGTCTGAGATTCTTTAGGTGCCTTTTGGCAAACTCCAAGCGGGCTGTCATGTGCCTTTTACTGAGGAGTGGCTTCCGTCTGGCCACTCTACCATAAAGGCCTGATTGGTGGATTGCTGCAGAGATGGTTGTTCTTCTGGAAGGTTCTCCCATCTCCACAGAGGACCTCTGGAGCTCTGTCAGAGTGACCATCGGGTTCTTGGTCACCTCCCTGACCAAGGCCCTTCTCCCACGATTGCGCAGTTTGGCCGGGCGGCCTGCTCTAGGAAGAGTCTTGGTGGTTCCAAACGTCTTCCATTTAAGAATGATGGAGGCCACTCTGTTCTTGGGGACCTTCAATGATGCCGAATTTTTTTTGTACCCTTCCCCAGATCTGTGCCTCGACACAATCCTGTCTCGGAGCTCAAGTTGTAGAAACAGCAAGGATGATCAATGGAAACAGGATGCACCTGGGCTCAATTTAGAGTCTCATAGCAAAGGGTCTGAATACTTATTGAAATAAGGTATTTCAGGTTTTTATTTGTAATACATTTGCAAAAATTTCAACAAACCTGTTTTTGCTTTGTCATTATGTAGTATTGTGTGTTGATTGACAAGGAAAATGTTTTATTGAATCATTATAGAATAAAGCAGTAACGTAACCAAATGTGGAAAAAGTCAAGGGGTCGGAATACTTTCCGAAGGCACTGTACATGTATGTAAATGGCATGTTATAGAAGGGTCCACATACCTTTGTGATTTCACTTGCTTTTGAGAAACTTACCCCAAACAGCAAAAATCACTTCCTCATCCTCCTTGTGTAGTAATGGGGGCCCTGAAGAAAACATGAACAAAAACTCTAAAAACACCCTTTTAGAGACCACAAAGCTCTCAGTAATAGTGATGCAGGTCTATAGATGATGTTGATCACATGAAACTGTCATTCCTAACTTTAATCCGCAACGCTATATTCCTTTTGTGTGACATGGAACGTTTCCCCCTATCCAGCTGTTCCGTTCACCACGTAGCCTCCTGCTGCTACAGGTAACTGGCAAAATAAAGGAAACACCAACATAAAAAAAAAAAAAAAGAGTCTTAATAGGGTATTGGGCCACCACGAGCCCCCCCAGAACAGCTTCAATGCGGCCTTGGCATAGATTCTACAAGAGTCTGGAACATCCTGTGTGAAAGCACCTTCTTTCAATATACTTTGTATCCCTCATTCACCTGAAGTGTTTCCTTTATTCTGACAGTTACATGTACAATGGGATGGTGAGGTATCGCTTGAGTCGCAAACAAAAATGGAATCTAACGTTGCGGATAAAGTTCACAATGACACAATTTCATGTGTACAACATCAAAAAAAAAAATACCTGCATCACTATATGGAGAGCTTTGTGGTCTCTAAAAGGACGTATTTGGGTGCTTTTGTTCATGTTTGTTCAGGGCCCCCATTACTACACAATGAGGATGAGGAAGTGATTTTGCTGTTTGGGGTAAGTTTCTCAACAACAAGAGAAAATCACAAAAAGGAGTATGGCCCCTCCTATAGCATGTCATTTACATCAAAAATAGAGATTTGGTTGTGAAAAGAAAAAACTTTTCCTTTAAGACATGTTACCACCTCTGTTCCCATTAATAACCTTCAGACAGCCGAGGAGAGAGAGAACAATACTGCTTTGATTCACCTGTGTGTGTGTGTGTGTGTGTGTGTGTGTGTGTGTGTGTGTGTGTGTGACCACAGGGAGACTACTGTGCCGTCAGCTACCTGGCAGTAACCAGATTAGGATCAAGATACAAACCACCAAAATAGAAACATGAACACAGTGAGTCACCTAATGGACACCACAGAAAGGCAAGCAGGCCTCTACATCTCTCTACTTCCTACACATATACACTGAGTGTACAAAACATTAGGAACACCTTCCTGATATTGAGTTGCACCCCCCCTTTTGCCCTCAGAACAGTCTCAATTTGTCTGGGCATGGACTCCACGAGGTGTCGAAAGCATTCCATAGGGATGCTGGCCCATGTTGACTCCAATCCTTCCCACAGTTGTGTCAAGTTGGCTGGTTGTCCATTGGGTGGTGGACCATTCATTATACACAGGAAACTGTTAGAGGTGTTCAAAATCCAACAGCGTTGCAGTTCTTGACACAAACCGGTGCGCCTGGCACCTACTACCATACCCCGTTCAAAAGGCACTTAAAATATTTTGTCTTGCCCATTCACCCTCTGAATGGCACACATACACAATCCATGTCTCAATTGTCTCAAGGCATAAATATCTCCTCCTGTTAATCTACATTGATTGAAGTGGATTTAACATCAACATCAATAAGGGATCACCAGGTAAAAGTTATGTCATGGAAAAAGCAGGGGTTGTTAATTTTTTGTCCACTCAGTGTATCGCTCCATTTCCTATACAGAGCATTCGGAAAGTATTCAGACCCCTTGACTTTTTCCACATTTTGTTACGTTACAGCCTTATTCTAAAATGGATTAAATACATTGTTTTCCTCATCAAATCGACACACAATATCCCATAATGACAAAGCAAAAAAAAAGGTTTAGAGACATTTTTGCAAATGTATTAAAAATAAAAAACAGAAATACCTTATTTACATAAGTATTCAGACCCTTAACTCAGTACTTTTTTTTGAAGTGATTACAGCCTTGAGTTCACAAGGGAATAAGCAGGACATTTGGGAATCTTCCAACTGGGATTGCTGGAAAACCAGGTAATTTTGGGAAAGTGCAACTCTAGTCTGTCTTTATTACTTTGAGGGATTCTATTTAACAGGAGATGACCTCATCATGTGTTAATATGACCCGAGGAGAGTGAAAGAGGAAGAGGAAGCGTGTGTGTGTGTGGATGGATGGATGGGATGCGTTTCCAGTGTTTAAGGGACACAGAGGGACACTCCGGAAGAGAAGATTCACTCAACAGCTCAGCGATCGGCTAGTCTGGCCTTAAAATCATCCACGGGTGTCAGGACATCACCAGGAAATAACACTCATAAAGAGCTGAACGGGCTGTGAAAATAACTGGAAAGGCTTTCACTGAATTTTTTTAACATAAAAAGCAAAGTCAATATTACGTGAGGAGTTTGAGTGTGTGTGTGTGTGTGTGTGTGTAGGGCGTGTGTTGTGTGTGTGTGTGTGTGTGGGGTGTGTGTGTGTGTGTGTGTGTGTGTAGGGCGTGTGTGTGTGTGTGTGTGTGTGTGTAGGGCGTGTGTGTGTGTGTGTGTGTGTGTGTAGGGCGTGTGTGTGTGTGTGTGTGTGTGTGTGTGTGTGTGTGTGTAGGGCTCCTGACTGCGACCATTTAGTCGCATTTTGCGACCCTTTGACTTGGCTGTGTGTTGCGATCTGCATTCTACCTGGTCACCTAAATCAAAACATCCTTTTTTGGGAGGCAAATAAAAAACATGAATTTGTCAAACAGTAAAGTGTATTATCCTCATGATTCCTGTAATAATAATAAAAAGGTGTCTACTGGAATGAGGAGGCCTCACCCACCTGGACAAAATAAATGCATATGTGTTTAGGACTATATCTAATATTAGTGCACATAAAGATGAAGGCAAATTCATCTCTATTGAACACCCCCCCAAAAAAACAGAAAAAATTCTGGAGCCCTATTTTGACAGTAAATGAACAAAAATAGGCTAATTGTCAACCCAAACATTTTTACAATCACTGGATTAACTTCTTTATTGAATAACCATCTCAGTAGTCTAGTAATTACACCTCTTAATAGAGCATTGTGAATTACTTTATAAGATGATTGCTCCAATTTGTTCTATTGTGTGACACTGCGCACATTTTCTTTCAGCCCATGATGCGACCAAAATCGTGGGCTGGTGCCACCAGGGGAAAATGTTAGGCTGGATCCCTGGTGTGTCCGGTGATCAACCTACCTCAACTCCAATCTCAAAGCCACCGCCCAGACCAGCTATACCAATGGCAGAGGGAGCAGACCAACCTAGTGAGAGAGAGGATGTAGTGAAATGATGTCCTGGCGATGACCATGTACAGTGTGTGGTAGTGAACTTACGTCCATCAGCCAGTCTAGCGATGACAATGCCGCTGCCGCCCCGAGCTGTGATCATGAAGCCTGCCTTGATCACTGTGATGATGGCCAGGCCCTGACACTTTGCTAATATATTGGCTGGAGGGAGAACACACACACACACAAATTATTAGCAGGTCCTGCTAGCATGCTATGACAATTTCCTGCCAACTCTGGTATGGAGGACTGTCACCTGACAGAACCCTGATGACATCACCATAAAGACATGCGGAGAATGAGAGAGATGGAAAGAAATGAATAGGTATGAGTCAGAGATGATACCTTAGTAAGGGCAGGATGAACACACACACACACACACAGACGCACACAGACACACACGCACACACAGACACACACACAGACACACAGGGAGGGACAAAAGGAACATGTACTCCCACCACACATTCACACACACCTGGGATGAGTTTGTCGGGCCCTGTGCGGTTGGAGATCTCAGTAAACTCTCGGAGGATCTTGGCAGCTTTCTTTGCCTCCGACTTCATGTTGGACGGGATGGGGTTATTCACTGTTAACACACACACATCAGACCTTATGTTGGACAGTATGGGGTTATTCACTGTTAACACACATATCAGACCCAAAGATGGACGGGATGGGATTAGATACGGTCAACACACACATCAGACTTCATGTTGGACAGGATGTGGTTATTCATTGACTTTGCAAAACCCAAACCCGGCCTGCATCGCAAAGTGTTTCCCGGGAAGCCTTGCGATGTTGCGCCTCTGGGTTTAGAAACTCGGTGCTACAACTATGGACCTCCAGAAAAAGGTAAGCTGCAGAACTGCATGAGCGACAGCTAATGGGGATCCTAACACACTACTCTAAAATCAGCTAGCCAGATCAGATCACCTTAGCTGCTGTTTTGTAACAGTTGCCAGCGTCGGTGCAGTTTCAGAGGTGGAGCCAGAGCAACTGAACCAACCAGATTTCTTCAGTATTACCATGGAATTACAAACGTGGAAATACCAACCAACCAAAAACAGGACCGACGTGCATTTCCTTCACATCAGGCTGCAGCTGCATACCCATCTGATGATGTCACCTTTAATAACCAACACGATAGAGACACGTCCGACAGGAGGCTATATCAGGACACATTGTGCTTTGTAACAACTCAGGAGACAGTTTAGACAACAGAATGGGTTCTCCAACTCTGACTATTCTAGTGTGTTCTTTAAACCTAGGGAGGGCTGCATTCCATTATTAAAAAGTTAACCCCCCCCCCTTCCTTCTGCCCTACTTGACAGCTCTGCTATGATTGGATAGGTGAAAGTAGTATGGTAGAAGCTATATTGAACTGTACAGAGTCGTCTCAGATCCATGAAGGGGAGAGGATGAGAACAGAGGGGAGAGAGGGCACCTTTTTGGTTCTGCACCAGTGACCTACAGTGGGGGAAAAAAAGTATTTAGTCAGCCACCAATTGTGCAAGTTCTCCCACTTAAAAAGATGAGAGAGGCCTGTAATTTTCATCATAGGTACACGTCAACTATGACAGACAAAATGAGGGAAAAAAAAATATCCAGAAAATCACATTGTAGGATTTTTAATGAATTTATTTGCAAATTATGGAGGAAAATAAGTATTTGGTCAATAACAAAAGTTTCTCAATACTTTGTTATATACCCTTTGTTGGCAATGACACAGGTCAAACATTTTCTGTAAGTCTTCACAAGGTTTTCACACACTGTTGCTGGTATTTTGGCCCATTCCTCAATGCAGATCTCCTCTAGAGCAGTGATGTTTTGGGGCTGTCGCTGGGCAACACGGACTTTCAACTCCCTCCAAAGATTTTCTATGGGGTTGAGATCTGGAGACTGGCTAGGCCACTCCAGGACCTTGAAATGCTTCTTACGAAGCCACTCCTTCGTTGCCCGGGCGGTGTGTTTGGGATCATTGTCATGCTGAAAGACCCAGCCACGTTTCATCTTCAATGTCCTTGCTGATGGAAGGAGGTTTTCACTCAAAATCTCACGATACATGGCCCCATTCATTCTTTCCTTTACACGGATCAGTCGTCCTGGTCCCTTTGCAGAAAAACAGCCCCAAAGCATGATGTTTCCACCCCCATGCTTCACAGTAGGTATGGTGTTCTTTGGATGCAACTCAGCATTCTTTGTCCTCCAAACACGACGAGTTGAGTTTTTACCAAAAAGTTATATTTTGGTTTCATCTGACATTCTCCCAATCCTCTTCTGGATCATCCAAATGCACTCTAGCAAACTTCAGACGGGCCTGGACATGTACTGGCACTTCAGGATTTGAGTCCCTGGCGGCGTAGTGTGTTACTGATGGTAGGCTTTGTTACTTTGGTCCCAGCTCTCTGCAGGTCATTCACTAGGTCCCCCCGTGTGGTTCTGGGATTTTTGCTCACCGTTCTTGTGATCATTTTGACCCCACGGGGTGAGATCTTGCGTGGAGCCCCAGATCGAGGGAGATTATCAGTGGTCTTGTATGTCTTCCATTTCCTAATAATTGCTCCCACAGTTGATTTCTTCAAACCAAGCTGCTTACCTATTGCAGATTCAGTCTTCCCAGCCTGGTGCAGGTCTACAATTTTGTTTCTGGTGTCCTTTGACAGCTCTTTGGTCTTGGCCATAGTGGAGTTTGGAGTGTGACTGTTTGAGGTTGTGGACAGGTGTCTTTTATACTGATAACAAGTTCAAACAGGTGCCATTAATACAGGTAACGAGTGGAGGACAGAGGAGCCTCTTAAAAGAAGAAGTTACAGGTCTGTGAAAGCCAGAAATCTTGCTTGTTTGTAGGTGACCAAATACTTATTTTCCACCATAATTTGCAAATAAATTCATTAAAAGTCCTACAATGTGATTTTCTGGAGAAAAAAAAAATCTCAATGTCTGTCATAGTTGACGTGTACCTATGACGAAAATTACAGGCCTCTCTCATCTTTTTAAGTGGGAGAACTTGCACAATTGGTGGCTGACTAAATACTTTTTCCCCCCATTGTATATGGTGCTGATCCAACGTAGGCCTCTTCAACCCTGTTCCTGGAGAGATACCGTCCTGTAGGTTCACCCCAACCCTGTTCCTGGAGAGTTACCCTCCTGTAGGTTTTCACTCCAACCCGTATCTAGTGCACCGGATTCTAATAATTAGCTGGTTGATAAGCTGAATAAGGTTAGTTACAACTGGAATTGGCTCAAAAAAACAAACAGGGGAGGCTCTCCAGGAACAGGGTGGGAGAGCCCTGATCTAACCTGTCCAGTGTGTTATATTAGGGTGTAATCTGGGTGACACTCCCTGGCCTGGGGCAGACAAGATCAGTCGATTTCATATTGCTCTGAATCACCACATTAGCCTGCTGCTCAATCTCCCAATTCCTAAAACACATCCAATAGGAGGGGGTGTGTGTGTGTGACAGTGTTCGCTTTAATGCAGTCTCTCCGGTTTGCTAATACTGGTCAAACCTGCCGTGTAGACAGACACATTCCTGCTTAATGACAAACTCTTAATGAAGATAAAAATCTCATCATTGGTGTAGACGGGTGGCTATTCAACTACTATCTCAGCAGCCACAGACGACAACGCCCTCATAAACCAAGACAGTGACTGTTCAGTTGACAGACACAATTGGGTTAATAGAGTTCCACAATGGAGTTCTCATAAATACCCATAAAACCTAGCAGTCAAACAGGGAAATGGTTCTAATAATTTCCATATGGGATTTTAGAAACACTTCAAATAAGGACTGTGTTTCGTGTAGGCTTTCCCTGGCATGATGTTTTGAAAACCGTATAAGAAAAGTATTGTATTGTAATGTATATATATATATATATATATATATCAATGTAATTGTCTGCATCATTTCCAATCCCCCATATATTACATACATATACATACAGTTGAAGTTGGAAGTTTACATACACTTAGGTTGAAGTCATTAAAAGTCGTTTTTCAACCACTCCGCAGATTTCTTGTTAAAAAAAAACTATCGTTTTGGCAAGTCGGTTAGGACATCTACTTTGTGCATGACACGTAATTTTTCCAACAATTGTTTACAGACAGATTATTTCACTTATAATTCACTGTATCACAATTCCAGTGGGTCAGAAGTTTACATACACTAAGTTGACTGTGCCTTTAAACAGCATGGGAAAATTCCAGAAAATTATGTCATGGCTTTAGAAGCTTCTGATAGGCTAATTGACATCATTTGAGTCAATTGGAGGTGTACCTGTGGATGTATTTCAAGGCCTACCTTCAAACTCAGTGCCTCTTCGCGTGACATCATGGGAAAATCAAAGAAATCAGCCAAGACCTCAGAATTGCATGGCCTCCAAAAGGCACACAATAAGGGGATCTGCTGTACCGATGTTATGTCTGGAAAAAGTCAGTTATAAATGATTCTGTCCTAGTTGACAACGAGTTATCATCCAATAGGCTTTGATTACACTTCCAATATCCTCACCCAGGTGGAAATTCTGTAAGAGTAATGTATACGCCAATTATTTGATGGTCCGACCGCATTCTGTCCCCTATCAACACTAACTTTTCGTGCCAGCGAGAATGACACAAAGTAGTCAAGACGACTAGCTTGATTAAGCCTCCGCCATGTCTTATTGAAGGCTCCATATTTCCACTAGTGATTTCCTTAAGAGCATGACCGTGATAGTGCGATTTCCTTTATGGTCCATTGAGGTATTTAAAACCGTATTATAATCTCCCACCATAATAATAGAGTATTGTATTGCCTGTAGGTTTGATAAATTATTATATATATATATATTTTCAAAGAAGCGTGGATCATCATTATTTGGACCATATAGATTAAATGAGACAAATCTGTTTATGGTTCAAAAACATATTTAAAATAATCCATCTACCTTGCAGATCTGTTTGGACAATTTGCACATTCAGATCAAAATGATTGTTAATTAATATCACCACCCCTTTTGAGTTTCTTTGCCCCCAGTCCTTTTTCCACACAACTTCATCTAAAATTGTTGAATGAGTCCCATGTAAACAATCTTTTAGCAGGTAAATACTGATCGTCTTTTCTTATTATCTGCTAAGCCATTACAATTATAACTGGCTATACTTATTTCACCATGTACCATAATGAGATACAAGTTTCAAATCTATTTATCATAATATATGTTTGTAAACTTACCATTAAAAAAGTACCATAATGATTGAGTGTCCATATATCTGTACCATGATATTAGCATCGCTACTAAGTAAACCTCCAATTGTTCTCCACTATTCCACCCGCTAAAACCTCCCCCCAAATTGGGTTGTCTTCCCAGTGACCGGCAGACCACCCCAATCCCCCTGGATCCCATGGCCCCTGAGAGACCGGGACCCATCCTTCAAAAAGAGCACACAGTGCGACCCACAGAACAGAAGCAGATCAACCGCCAAAAGTATTTCCAACGCCCTCACCTCGATTGAATTATACACCGTTTTTTAAATAAATACAAAAATCTTACGTATCTTCATTTCCACAATTAACGAATAATATGCGTAATAATGTTGGGAGTTCATGCAAAGGATTATTACCTATAACCAGTATTGCCATTACAAAAATTACATTTGGCAAGCAATTATTATTTTAGCAAACAATTGTGATTTATCCTATATTGTCTCGAACATCATTACCCCATAGCAACAGGTGTGTGACACACTCTCCCCACCCCCTTCCCCACCCCCACTCTCCCCACCCCGCTTCCACACTCTCCCCACCCCCTTCCACACTCTCCCCACCCCCAAGGACTTGATGTGTGAATGCATATACAGTGAGGGGAAAAAAGTATTTGATCCCCTGCTGATTTTGTACATTTGCCCACTGACAAAGAAATGATCAGTCTATAATTTTAATGGTAGGTTTATTTGAACAGTGAGAGACAGAATAACAAAACAAAAATCCAGAAAGACGCATGTCAAAAATGTTAGAAATTGATTTGCATTTTAATGAGGGAAATAAGTATTTGAACCCCTCTCAAATCAGAAAGATTTCTGGCTCCCAGGTGTCTTTTATACAGGTAATGAGCTGAGATTAGGAGCACACTCTTAAAGGGAGTGCTCCTAATCTCAGTTTGTTACCTGTATAAAAGACACCTGTCCACAGAAGAAATCAATCAATCAGATTCCAAAATCTCCACCATGGCCAAGACCAAAGAGCTCTCCAAGGATGTCAGGGACAAGATTGTAGACCTACACAAGGCTGGAATGGGCTACAAGACCATCGCCAAGCAGCTTGGTGAGAAGGTGACAACAGTTGGTGCGATTATTCGCAAATGGAAGAAACACAAAATAACTGTCAATCTCCCTCGGCCTAGGGCTCCATGCAAGATCTCACCTCGTGGAGTTGCAATGATCATGAGAACGGTGAGGAATCAGCCCAGAATTACACCGGAGGATCTTGTCAATGATCTCAAGGCAGCTGGGACCATAGTCACCAAGAAAACAATTGGTAACACACTACGCCGTGAAGGACTGAAATCCTGCAGCGCCCGCAAGGTCCCCCTGCTCAAGAAAGCACATTAAGGTCCTGGAGTGGCCTAGCCAGTCTCCAGATCTTAATCCCATAGAAAATCTGTGGAGGGAGCTGAAGGTTCGAGTTGCCAAACGTCAGCCTCGAAACCTTAATGACTTGGAGAAGATCTGCAAAGAGGAGCGGAACAAAATCCCTCCTAAGATGTGTGCAAACCTGGTGGCCAACTACAGGAAACGTCTGACCTCTGTGATTGCCAACAAGCGTTTTGCCACCAAGTACTAAGTCATGTTTTGCTGAGGGGTCAAATACTTATTTCCCTCATTAAAATGCAAATCAATGTATGTTTTTGTGTTTTTATGGATTTTTTTGTGGTTATTCTGTCTCTCACTGTTCAAATAAACCTACCATTAAAATGATAGACTGATCATGTCTTTGTCAGTGGGCAAACGTACAAAATCAGCAGGGGATCAAATACTATTTTCTCCTCACTGTACGGCTGTAGCTGTTTGAGAAGGCATGCAAAATTGAGCAAGAATGGGGAGATTTGATTAACCAATGTCAAGTCCTATCTGATGGAGCTCAGATACCCCCCTCTACCCTGAAACACACACAAGCTGGTCCCCCGTTGTGACCATTTTCCCAAGAATCTCTTTGCAGTCAGACCATTGATTATTTTTGTGCCACCAGGGCCACAATATTTTGCACCCACATTTCTCTAGCCTTCTAATACATTTTGTGTTGTTATCCAGATTTAAAAAGGTTATTACCCAGATTTAAAAAGGTTATTACCCACGAGTATGTGGAGTGAAGTGCTAATATTTAGTCAAACTTACAGGTATTGAACGCTACGTTTTTATCTTGAGGCATTCTGCATCGCTGTGTTCAGTCCGCCATGACACCTCTAGTTTCTTCTTCTTTAGTTACCATTGGGGAACGTCCCGCGTGCCACGTCTATTACTATGGGCACAAGCACTGTTCATGACAAACTGTTCACACCCCCTCGTTGGTGGAAATAACATTCTGTCAGGTTTAAAACTTTATTTCTTGCAATTTATACATCTTGCCATGTATATTCATGTGATATTTGAGTGACAAACATTACAACAAAATCTATGGGCTAAAAAAACCTAGCTAAAAACGTTAGCTGACATAGGCTAGTCGATCTGGACATTTCTGTTATGTCTCTCTAAGGTATGCAATGACTGACATGACAAGAGGAACTGTTGATGCACTACCCAATTTAGAAATGGCACCTATTGCAACTTTCAAGAGTAAGTTGAAAGCCGGACAGCCCCCCCAGGGAGCAGAAAGCCGGACAGCCCCCCCCCCCCCCCCCCCCCAGGGAGCAGAAAGCCGGACAGCCCCCCCACCCAGGGAGCAGAAAGCCGGACAGCCCCCCCCCCCCCCCACCCCCACCCAGGGAGCAGAAAGCCGGACAGCCCCCCCCCCCACCCAGGGAGCAGAAAGCAGAAAGCCGGACAGCCCCCCCCCCCCCCCCCCCAGGGAGCAGAAAGCCGGACAGCCCCCCCCCCCCCCACCCAGGGAGCAGAAAGCCCCGGACAGCCCCCCCCCCACCCAGGGAGCAGAAAGCAGAAAGCCGGACAGCCCCCCCCCCCCAGGGAGCAGCAAGCCGGACAGCCCCCCACCCACCCCAGGGAGCAGAAAGCCGTTTGGTAACCACTGCTGTAGGCCACCTGTCCTGGGGTCTGTTGTCACATGAACTACAAGCTGACTTAGAAGCATTGTTCCATTAGCAGGACACACACACAGAAAAAAAAAAAAAAAAAAAAAAAAAAAAAAATAGGGAAGAAACCCACCCCAGGGGTATTAATAAAAAAACTGAAATATCAGTTGGTGAGAGCAGAGTGAATGAGGAACAATAATCATCCATCTTGTGATGTCTTCCAAAAGAAGCTCATTCACATGCCCTCGAGCATGCGTACACACACACACACACTGGATGCTTGGAGGGTCACAGAGGCTGGGTAAGGAATGTTCATGTGGGTATAAATTAGTACATTGTGATGTAATCAATGTGTCACGCAGCATTCTTTAGCCTAAGAGACCAGCATCCCACAGGACACCGATTTTCATCCCTTGCCCAAGAATAAAGACGGTCTTTTCGATGAAACATCTGACACCTGAGGGTGTGTTTAGGCCTCCTATCACCAAGACCATCTGCTGTTTAGGACGGTTTAAAATGTACAGTACCAGTCAAAGGTTTGGACACACCTACTCATTCAAGGGTTTTTCTTTATTTTAACTATTTTCTACATTGTAGAATAATAGAAGACATAACTGTGAAATAACACACAGAATTATGTAGTAACCTAAAGAGTGTTAAACAAATCCAAATATATTTTATATTTGAGATTCTTCAAAATAGCCCCCCTTTGCCTTGATGACAGCTTTGCACACTCTTGGCATTCTCTCAACCAGCTTCACCTGGAATTATTTTCCAACAGTCTTGAAGGAGTTCCCACATATGCTGAGCACTTGTTGGCTGCTTTTCCTTCACTCTGCCATCCGACTCATCCCAAACCATCTCAATTGGGTTGAGGTCGGGGGATTGTGGAGACCAGGTCATCTGATGCAGCACTCCATCACTCTCCTTCTTGGTAAAATAGCCCTTACACAGCCTGGAGGTGTGTTGGGTCATTGTCCTGTTGAAAAACAAATGGATAGTCCCACTAAGCCCAAACCAGATGGGATGGCGTATCGCTGCATAATTTTGTGGTAGCCATGCTGGTTAAATGTGCCTTGAATTCTAAATAAATCACAGACAGTGTCACCAGCAAAGAAAAGCACCCCCACACCATAACACCTCCTCCTCCATGCTTTACGGTGGAAAATACACATGTAGAGATCATCCGTTCACCCACACTGCGTCAAACAAATTCCCCTGTTCACAAACAAAGACACAGTGGTTGGAACCAAAAATCTCAGATTTGGACTCCAGACCAAAGGACCATTGCTCGTGTTTCTTGGCCCAAGCAAGTCTCTTCTTCTTATTGGTGTCCTTTAGTAGTGGTTTCTTTGCAGCAATTCAACCACGAAGGCCTGATTCACGCAGTCCCGTCTGAACAGTTGATGTTGAGATGTGTCTGTGACTTGAACTCTGTGAAGCATTTATTTGGGCTTCAATTTCTGAGGCAGGTAACTCTAATGAACGTATCCTCTGTATCAGAGGTAACTCTGGGTTTTCCATTCCTGCGGCGGTCCTCATGAGAGCCAGTTTCATCATAGCGCTTTATGGTTTTTGCGACTGCACTTGAAGTTCTTGAAATGTTCCGTATTGACTGACCTTCATGTCTTAAAGTAATGATGGACTGTTGTTTCTCCTTGCTTATTTGAGCTGTTCTTGCCATAATATGGACTTTGTCTTTTACCAAATATGTCTATCTTCTGCATACCCCCTTACCTGTCACAACACAACTGATTGGCTCAAACGCATTAAGAAGGAAAGAAATTCCACAAATTAAGTTCTAACTAGGCAATTTAAATGCATTCCAGGTGACTACCTCATGAAGCTGGTTGAGAGAATGCCAAGAGTGTGCAAAGCTGTCATCAAGGCAAAGGGTGGCTATTTGAAGAATCTCAAATATATTTTGATTTGTTTATCACTTTTTTTGGTTACTACATGATTCCATATGTGATTTCATAGTTTTAATGTCTTCACTATAATTCTACAAAGTAAAAAACTAAACAAAAATAGTACAAATAAAAGAAAAACCCTTGAATGAGTAGATGTGTCCAAACTTTTGACTGGTAGTGTGTCACCTGTAGCTCATGTCAGAACAACAACCAGAAAGTGTATGCACTCTGGATAAGAGTGTCTGCTAAATGACTAAAATGTAAAAATGTGGACAGCTCTCAGTGCTGATGAATGACCTTCCCATGGCCCAACATCAGCTGACTGACCCTCTTTCTCTCAAACACAAAAAGTTATCTGCCCCGCAGCGCTGTAATGTTACAGGAGGCCCTGGGCTGAACGCACACGCTTACGCACACGCAAACATTTAAAATGAACTCTTGTGGATCATGGGTTTAGTTTGTGACAATGAACTTGTTGTCTGGTACATAGAAAACCATAACACATCTCCCTATCTGAGACACTGAATGGCTATAAATAAAAAGAGAACAATGCTGTCAAAATCCATAATAATAATAATAATAATAATATGCCATTTAGCAGACGCTTTTATCCAAAGCGACTTACAGTCATAAAATGTACCATTATTGTGGAATTCGTATCATGAGGTTTTTCTTTCATTGTTTTTTTTATCTAGTTTTATTATTTTTGATCCATCACATAGCCTAATATATTACCTCCAGCGGAATGAAAAGGTGTTACACACATAAATAATAATATTGATAATAATAATAATAATAATAATAATAAGCCATTTAGCAGACACTTTTATCCAAAGCGACTTACAGTCATGTGCGCATACATTTTTACTTATGGGTGGTCCCGGGGATCGAACCCACTACCCTGGCGTTACAAGCGCCATGCTCTACCAGCTGAGCTACAGATACTGCTATTGAGATGCTGGTTGGTAAGAAAACACCACACCCTCAAGTTCCCACATACACTACATGACCAAAAGTATGTGGACACCTCCTCGTCGAACATCTCATTCCAAAATCATGGGCATTAAATATGGAGTTGATCCCCCCTTTTGCTGCTATAACAGCCTCCACTCTTCTGGGAAGGCTTTCCACTAGATGTTGGAACAATGCTGCAGGAACTTGCTTCCATTTTAGCCACATGAGCATTAGTGAGGTCGGGAACTGATCTTGGGCGATTATGCCTGGCTCACAGTCGGCGTTCCAACTCATCCCAAAGGTTTTCGATTGGGTTGAGGTCAGGGCTCTGTGCAGGCCAGTCAAGTTCTTCCACACCGATTTTGACAAACCATTTCTGTATGGACCTCAATTACTGCACGAGGGCATTACCATGATGAAACAGTAAAGGGCCAAAACTATAGTTTGTTAACAAGAAATCTGTGGAGTGGTTGAAAAACGAGTTTTAATGACTCCAACCTAAGTGTATGTAAACTTCCGACTTCAACTGTACACACACACACACACACACACACGGGATACAACCATCACAGGTTTTTGGTCACAGGTCCAGAAATGGCTGAAGAATTGCAACATTTACCTGAAGCTAACTCTGCAGATAGCACTGGTGGGAGATTTGAAAAGTAATAGTAAAATCAGTTAATAATAATAATACTTTTAGCAAAAAAAAATCTTTAATTTACAATATGTAGAAACTATGAGAATAAAAATAAAAATATATGGCAAATAGAAAATCAAAACTGGATGGTGTTAAGACATGGAACTAATAACAAACAAAAGATAACTATTGTAAAATAGTATAAAATGTATATAGTATGTATAAACTGGAAGTAGAAGCCTGTGTTGTTGTCCATTAGTTTACTCTAATTAGGGAAGGGATGGTGTAAGCTACAATCTGCAATGTTAAAAGCTGATCTAAAAAGGTTTTGGGGAAGGCCCGTTCCTGTTTTAGCATGACAATTCCCCCATTCACAAACCGAGGTCCATACAGAAATGGTTTGTCGAGATCGGTGTGGAAGAACTTGACTGCTCTGCACAGAGCTCTGACCTCAACCCCATCGAACACCTTTAGAATGAATTGGAACACCAACTGCGAGCCAGGGCCTAATCGCCCAACATCAGTGCCCAACCTCACATGGCTGAATGGAAGCAAGTCCCCCGCACCAATGTTCCAACATCTAATGGAAAGCCTTCCCAGAAGAGTGGAGGCTGTTTGAGCAGCAAAAGGGGGGGGGGGGACCAACTCCATATTAATGCTCATGGTTTTGGAATGAGATGTTCGACGAGCAGGTGCCGCTAATAGTGTAATGACAGCGTTTCACTGTATTACTTACCTTCCAGTGTTGTGATTGGCTGTGATATTCATTCTGACTTGGTTTGCTGTGTTATCTAGCGGAAATCGCCCTGTCATTTCCTGGTTGCTACAATTCTACAATGTTCACTCAATTTCAGTTTGTGAGACAAGCACCCGAAGTGTAGAAAATCATAACACTACTGTCAATACACTATTCAGTGCTTGTTTTCTCACCAACTGAAATTGAGCGAACAGTGTAGAATTTTAGCAACCAGGAAACCAGCCACAATATATTAATGGTAATTTTCAGAAATTACAATGCAAAAATAAGCGAATAAATGCACGGTTAGGGACCGTCTGTAAAAAAGGTGCCATCTATTTCAGATTCATAAAAGCTGATAGTACTTCAAACACATAAGTTATACTTCCAAGCCGAAATCTTATCAGAAACATGTTGGGGCATTTTCAAAATTTGAAAATTTTGCACGAAAAATCTTTTTGTTTTTTGTTGTTGAGTTTCTCCCTGGTCCATAAACGTCTTTGAGAAGCAGAGATGAGCGAGACAACTTTACTGATGTCATTGACAACTAAATTTAAGATTGAAGCATTCATTCTATCGATGTAGGACATATTTTCTGGTGACAAAGGGTTTATTTAGGCTTCTAGTAAATGACAGACGTATAGCCTCCTAGATGTTCCGGTTTTCAGGGGAAATGGAGAGAGGTCCTGTAACGGGACTTGTGCTTTTGGGCGTTAACAAGGCCACGCGCCATCTTAACTCCTCCTCCACATTTAATGGGTTGTTATGAACAGTGCAGAGGAGAACATCACAACAGTTTTTTTCTCTTCTCCTCAAGACCAGTATGTAGGTCATCTAGTTTATTTTACTGTTAGGTTATGACAGAAGAGAAGCAGCATATATCTAATTATAGAGAAGTTCACTTACAAATAGCCTACCAAAATGTCAGAAATGATAAGCAGAAACAGGGCCTATCCTACAGTGAGCTCCGAAAGTATTGGGACAGTGAAAAATGTGTTGTTGCTGAAATGACACAATGACTATAAGGTTAAAGTGCAGACTGTCAGCTTTCATTTGAGGGTATTTTCATCCATATCGGG